CATTGTGTTCTTCACATGACCAATATAGAGATGTTAAAAACTTCTCATACCTCTGAGTCAAGATACCTTACTCGGTCTTCGCAATCATGATGGTTTCTGTGAACATCCACTGCTCGCGGGCTGTGGGGGTAGGTGAACTATCAATCGAGAGGGTCTCATTTTTGCACAGGACTCCTGCATTTCAATAGCTAGTGTCTACTAGATTATGGTCGTCTCTTCGTGTAATTGCGTTGTCTATGTAGATTCACTGTAGACATTGTAACAAGCCACACAGGTCGCCTGCAGCGGCAAAAAGAACAACGGTATCGCGTAAGCAATAAGAAACATGTTCGTTCTCTTCATTGGTAACGTGTGAGCGAGTGCATATGATCTTTCTATGAATGTTTCCTTGACTGTTGTTATTCTGTCGGTGAAGACAGTTTTCTCACATCAAACTTCGAACTTTCATTTCCCTTTTTCGGCTAATTTAGTTCCAGATCTGAAATCGGTGAATTACGAGCTCTGTTCAGCAACTGTTTTGAAACTGACGGATGCTGAGAATAGAAGTGTCGGTACTGAAGAAATATGCCCATGGCCTGTTGCCGATTCTTGAACTTTTCGAGTTTTCGTGACTTGATTCACAAGGGATCCGGCCTTTGGAACCCGATCTTTCCATAGCTGACGATTGATTGAGATAGCTGCTGGACTTATTGCCTGGTCCGTAATTTGCCAGGCATTTTAAGACTGAACATATGCTCTTGCATAGCTTCGTCTAGTCTGTTTTTGAAGATGTTCATACTCGGAGCGTCAACGATGCTATCAGGGAGGCTGCTTGCTTGGAAGATTTATTTTGACCAACATAAGGTAACATCACCAAGTCCTGTGCTTGAAGTCCATACGATATCTCTAAACTCATACATGTTTCAAGTATTTTTAAGGTAAATCAGGTCTAACCTACACTAATGTAATAAAGTTAGATTTTTTGGGAGGCTCTTCGGCGTGGTCGAGCCCAATGCTGAATTTGAACATTGATGTACTGTCTGGAATCTAAAGTTTTAAAAGTTCAAGAGTTCAACAGTGGAGTGAATCATGTTGCTTCAAACGAAGTGGCAGGGTAGGCTCACTGGTCATCACAATGACTAGTTTTGTTACGCTATGTTTAACGGTAGTTCATACTTTATGAGCTAAGCGATCGTGAAAAATCGGACAGTAACAAATAGAGTTCTTGGTGCCTTGTATTTACAAAATGCAGATCACACTCCAATGCATAGCATTAATTTAACAGTCGATGGAGATAATGCGCATAGGTCGAGATCGTCAATTGGAAGAGACAGATAAACAATTTTATCCCATTCATCTCATCATTCCAAGCTCCGCATGACTAAATAAAAAAAAAGTCTTATTTCTTTCGACGTAAACTCCCCCACAATATGCTGCCTGCCGAAATACTAGATCACTGTCACTGTTGGGAACTGCAATACCACAAAATGAATATGCAGGGCACTCATCATCAAAAATATTCGCGTTCTCAAAGCACGTGATTGTAAATAAATGAAAACATCAAGTAAAGAGTATATGTTCACGAGGAACATCCGCATGGCTAACGATGGAAGAGGGACATAAGTGAAGAATAAATAGTTGTATTCTAATCTATCGATATCCCCCATTACAAAGTTTTCAAGGAACGTAAGATAAATGGAAACCGTGCACGTTTCAAGCCACTCGTACAACCAAAAAAACTATTTTGGTTGTACCCATTGATGGGTACAGTAAGATATGGTCCACTAGAATGTTATCTCGAATAGCACTGGATTCAAACGAACACCCGAAATTTAAAAGAGAAGAGAAATTAAAAATTAAATTCAGTAACTGCATTGAAACGCAACTTACCTAATAATGACTAGAAGTTTAATATACCGCCATAAACAATATCAATATACAATGCGTGGGCAAACTACTATGTTTAGCTCCCTCTCTAAAGTCGTTTTTATTTAGTTACAGACATTTCGAACAGAAAACAGTATTAACCGACATTACCCAAGATTCTAAGTTTGTGGCCCAGCAAATTGTAGAAATTGAGCCTAGCAGGCTGAAAGCTTGAAACTTTACAGTTAAAATGATGAAAACTTAAGATGGAAGGAAACATTCTAGTTATGAATCGCACATAAAAATGTATGTACAAAATGCCACCCTAAATGCAGCGTGAAAACCTACAGAGGGAAGTGTACACATATTATATTAATATTAACTAAGTTACAACGATATGGAAAGGAAAATAAACATATTTTGCTCGAAATAAGAAAAAACAGCGCTACTGAGGACCATTTATATAATACAAGGATAGTCGTTCGGAAAATAATCTATTTTGGTGCCTTGAAAAATACAACTTGCTAACGTCAATATAAACGCTAAACGATCGGCCTCATCAATCAAGTTAAAATCTAAACATAAAATTTGCATCGTCCAGTATGTAGCATCGATCATCGACCATGTATGGATTGTGCAAGCATGACAATTTAATGACACCTCGGAGAACTTCCACGATGATTCCAGTCGCCGGCACTCCTTTAGTAGTTCTATTGCGAACGATAGTAAGTTCCTGCATTGCATACACATCACGCACAAACCTTTTGATTATTCCATGTCGAGTGCTTTGGACACGAACTTGTTTAGTGCAATATCCTCATAAGACTCGCAGGACTTGAGTGCGTCAGGCTGTAATGTTTCACAAATTTTACATGAAAGGCAAACTAAGTACAAAATGTACCTTATTGATAACATCATAAAGTTCATAAAGCCATACAAAGATCTTGTATGGCTGGTCATCTGAAAACACCGATGATGTCGCTGTAATAACCGAGATGGTCGGTGCTGCGAGACGGCTGGGAAATTGTGAGTGCCGTATATATAGGCATCCTTGAATTGACAGAAAATGCATTCGTACGCGCATATCGAAGTCAGATGATCAGGGTAGTGGATATTGATCAGTCTGCTCTAGAAAATTCGTAGATCACATAATTCAATGGCAGAATTGCTGTTTCATTGTTGAAACAAAAAGTCATAGGTAACAAATAAAAGAGGCTTGTTCATATTGGGAAACAAAACTCAACAAAATTTACGGTCATCATTTCTGAACTTAAGATAGTAAATAAATCCATAAAAATTTTTCTTGCATTTCGAGGAATGAGAGTTGTTTGTAGCTTAGTTGGTCTAAACACATGAGAGAAAGACACCTGAAAAAAAACTTTGAATGAGTTAGCCAGTGTAAATTAACGAGGTGCAAAATGCAGCGACTCTCCAATTCGTCAGTGAGCAATTTACCTTATATTTCATATTTCCTAATACATAGGAACTTAATGGATCAAACTTGACGAGGACACCGTTTAAGTCAGCAACAATATCATTGTGAATTGCGATTCTATAGAGCAACCTGATCCTGGTATCTTCGAACAAGAGTTCAATTAATCGGTAGAATTTTCACCAAATAACTGTAATGGCTTCTAGGAATAATTGTGATATTTTACAAATCTAGAGCAAAAATTCGTTTAAAAATTAGTCAAATAATGACCCCAGCTTTTTAAAAGCTTTCTTCGAGAAAGTAAATACATTATCTTTTAACGATTGCACTGCAGCATGGATGAACGAACTGGCATTTAAAGAGATCAACATGGAAATAGTCTACAATTCAACACCCAGGAAAGGTAAGCTGATGTTACACAATCTTGTTCCGAAATTTGTGCATGATATTTGAATGATGTGCTTATATATAATCGATTACGAGGTTATAACCGGAACAAGGAATCTGTCCAAGAATAAACAGATCTAGCAAGTGAAAAAGCGGGATAGTTGATTAGAAAAATTGTAAACAAGACATCGAATCGACTTCAAAAAATAGAAATAAGGATGAACTCGCTACAAAACATTGAGGCCACTGAAGCTGAATAAGGGACTCTCTTAAGAACCAACGCTGCGCGAGCCAAAAAATTATAGGTATTACACTTGGCCCCATTGATACACTTACTTTACTTCTACAATAAATAGGGTGATCCAATCACACAAATGCTGACTGCCATTATGATACGGCATTTTCTGTAGTAAAACCTGGAGACGAAACAGGATTATTTCCATCAGTTGCCCAGACACAAAATCCCCCATGGAATGCATCGAACATAATCTCTGGGCTACAAGATATGGACCGCTAAACGCCTTTCATGCTTATATCAAGCACAAATTTGCAAGATTGAGTAATTAAATCTAAAATAAAACAAAGACTTTTAAAATTATTCTTGCGATTCTTTAAATAAATTCCTAAAGAAAATGTACAAATAAATTTAGGAACTTTTTTACACCGTCGAAAAAAATAAAATTCATAAATTGAGTTCAAATTTGGAGTGGACAAAAACATTCATCATTGAGAGAACCATGAAAAATTATTATTTAAATCAATAAATGAGTAGTAATAAATTACAACACGACTGCCATACAGTTGATTGATTGAACAGGTAATTTCTCTGGGTGAGAAACCACCATGATAATGCCGTAGATAATGAGCCTATACTAGCGTAGCTATTTGACGCGAATATTGCCTTCTTTTGCAGTCTGGTCATTTGCCCGTGGTCCACACATACACTATACGCGACTAGCATAAATTATACAATGAAAAACCACTGGAACTGACACGACAAATTCACTTACAACAACGAAAATGTGTAACATGATCTCAAAAAGTGAATATTTTCGAGAGATTTAGTTTGCTAACAAGCGTTAGAACAAAATGGCGAGCGAGGAACTCAAAGTAATTACGCATTGACACTAATATCCTCTTGTGAGATCGTCAAGTCGATTCACATCAATGACTTGTAGATTGTAGATCTTTAGTTTTAGAATTTCTTAATGAAAAGCCATTGCGTGAATACAACTTTGAATCATTTTTGTATCTGAATGCACCCACATTCATCACTTACAATAAGAATAATAATTCTCGAGGTTAGTGATGGACCTCAACAACAACAATTTATCAAAAAATTCTTCAGAAACACAGACTGAACAATTATACATGCGAGCAATTCCCAAATCGTCATACATACATTTTAGAGACATGTAGTGATAATCAGTCATTTAAAAAAAATCTAAAACACATTTGGATAAAATATTATTGCATTAATTTGGAATTGTTCCGGTGTCATTATAGAACAAAAGTGAGTGCAGTTCACGAAGTTATTCAGATCCTCCTAATAACATGAAGGGTTTCACAATTTTTCCGTCTGGCTCATGATCCGATCGTTCTCGAGGTCAGACGTCTCGTAGTCTGAGTTGCGGCCAACATCGTCGTCGGTGGCGAAGGACAAGTCAGACACGCGGCCGTAGTCGCCGCGCACGATGGGACGCCGGCGACGAGGGTTGCCCATCCGAGCGCCAGACGCCGCATCGTCGCGACCATTGCGCAAGCGCGGATGGGTGCGCATATTTCTGTCGTTGCGGATTTTTGGAATGCTAGGAAGTGTTAGATCAGAGGACGAAGTATTGCTAATCTTGACGTGTGGGAGTTCGTCGGAGACGATGTTGTACGGCATGTTCACACCGAGCAGTTTGATAGAATTTGGCACTGGAGTTTCGTTGATAGCATCGTCACTCGAGTCTAGACTTATATTGTTGGCGGGGGGAGACGAAACGTTGTTCGAGAACTCATTGTCAGATGAAACACGATACATCGACGGAGAATTAGAACCCCGGGAGACATCGCCAGAAATTTGAAGCACGTTATTGGGTAAATTTTGCCGTAAGCTGTTCAGGGAAGATGTCGTTGAAGGATACAACTCTTGGGCATCCGAAACTGTGACCATTTCATGACCAATCCTCAGATTGCCGGAGTAATTATAAGCCTCAGGAGCGTTGGTTAAGGAGCTGCCGGCTGGATGGTCAGCCGCTGCCGCGGCAGCCTGTGAGTCCTGACTGCAGAGTACCACTTCGGGCAGCGCTTGGGACGTGTCTGGCAAACACGGGGGAAAGTTATCACTTAAATACACTCGCACTTGCGTCTAGAGAAGTAGACAGGCTTGATATAAATTGTTAAAAGAAACAGCAATACTGAAATCCACATAGAAAAAGAGGTACACAACATGAGGAAAACAGTGAAACAAGGCGCGTTCCTCAGCAACACACATCAAGGCCGTAACTCATTGAGTAGGAGGAACCCATTATTTCAATGAATAAGCAGCATAGCCACATCTCACATGTCAGCAGACACGAAAAGGTTAATATCTAACGCTACTCATGAAGGTAACGCCCAACATGGCCGCTACTCATGAAGGTAATGTTCAACATTGCTGCCACTCATAAAAACGCTCAACATGGCCGCAAATCATGAAGGTAATGCCCAACATGGCCGCTACTCATGAATGTAACGCCCAACATGGCCGCTACTCAAGAAGGTAACGCCCAACATGGCCGCTACTCATGAAGGTAATGTTCAACATTGCTGCCACTCATAAAAACGCTCAACATGGCCGCCATTCATGAAGGTAATGCCAACATGGCCGCCATTCACACATGTACCAAAACTCACATTGCAGCAGAGGCCGAACTTCTCCACCGTCATCGTCGTCGTCGCCTCGTCGCGCGACGTCGAGCTGCTGCGCTCGCCCGGCGCTCTGGTCGGCGCCGCGGAAGGTTGTCAGGGGCGTGACGGGCCGCCCGCCAACTCCTTCTGCGGGATACTCGGCCGCCACTGCAATACCAACATCGTGGGTAGAAACAAGATAAATTTATAGGTGCAAATAAGGCGGGATATTCGGCCGCCACTGCAATAGGTACCAACATCGTGGGTGGAAACAAGATACATTTATAGGTGCAAATAAGGCGGGATATTCGGCCGCCACTGCAATACCAACATCGTGGGTAGAAAAAGGATACATTTATAGGAGCAAATAAGGCCTGATTTTGACTATAATGTTCTTGTAGGTTTGACTAATGTTGTCTAATGAGTCAAACAAAAGTCAAGAGTACAACTAATGTTGTACTCTTTGTAGGTTTGACTAATATTCTCCCTTCTAGTGCCAGCACGTTGAAGTTAGATAAAACAAAGGAATAAATTGATGTGAGTTATCGTATAAGTAAAACATGAATTTTTGAGACTTGCTAAAATTCATAACTTGAGACCCAAGTAAAATTCATTTACCTTTTTACCAGAGACATGGCCTTGATTGAGGCTAAAATAGCTGTATTCCCTATCTACATATGACAATTTTATTTATTTACCTGTACGTTTTAAATCGTATACGATACTCATTGAATAGAATTGATCAAAGATTATTCGTTATTCAAGTTCGTGAATTTGCTGCAACTTGCGTGTGTCTGCCGTGGGTGAACACTCACAACTGCAGCCTTAAATATTGATCTCAATAAGACGGGGATGTGCATAAAGAGGTTTGAAATTAAATTAAATAGTCCAACCACGATGGACGAGGAAAATCCTGATTAGGCAATGACGAGTATATCATGAGACCAGATCAATTGTCCGGTGACAAGTTGAGCTGAAAAAGGTTCGCCATTGGAGTTGTTCCTGGAGCGTCAATAGGCACATTAACGATTCAATAAACAATTTATAAAAAGTAAAATAAAAATTTGCCCATATTAAATCAGATACTGCATGATACAGGTTAATAAAATTATTGCACATTAAGAACATTATGTTAATTACATTCTTGCCCGTAATGATTGATGCCATTAGTGCACGAACGTAAGAGCGGTGACGATGCGTTATCACGCCATGCTCACTCAATTAGTTCACAACATTATTCACAATCATGCAAGCTTAAAAATATCTAAAATTGATGCAAGAAACTTGAACCTTGATAGTTGACAATTGTAATGAAGATAACTCTTAGATGTTATGATTTAAAATATCTAATACGTATACGTATCGTCATTGAAAAAACAGCTTCTATGGTTCAACTGGAACATTCACTAGCTAGGATATCATGGAATCGTCTCCATAATATATATACACGACTTAACTTCGTTTATAATTTTCAAGTTCAAGAAAACCTCCACTCAGCAACAATAAACTTCTAATCATTAATAAAGTCCTTTCTGAGTTCTTCTTGAAAACTTCGTCGATATTTTAAAAATATATAGTCGAGTACGGATTCTCTTCATCAAGCAATCATTTAATAAATAATCTCACGCAGCGTTGTAATATAAATTAGTCTATTTCGCGATGACGCTAAATAGACGTCATCGTCTATCATATAAATCCATGTTGCTTCGTACAGATAAACTGCATAGCCAAAATGTTAATTCGGGTCAGTAGATTATTTGTGAGCCCGAAATAATGACAAATCAAAGTGTACAACAGATCTTGGAATGCGGTGCCATGCATATTACATTGAACACAGCCACCAGCGTTTGCATTTTTACGCTCTAGTGAATCTAATTCGACGGAGATCTCAAAGAATAGATGGCAGGGAAAGTATAATTGACAATAATCTCAGAACATTTGAAATGAACTAGATGATTGCATCAAGATAATGTAACGTGTAGATAATGTAATGTGTGAAACATTGAATAGCAGGTCATCGAAGTCGTTCACATCGGGACACACGCAACTTTTACACTGTAAGTTCCCGATACCTGGTACGCAACATCTCTCGAACCGAACCCCTACTCGACTTTGTTACATATGAACTCAGAGGAGAAACCAAATTACAAAATCATGTTAAGTTCCGAACCGATTACACACTGTTAATGATGATTATCAACGTCCATAGCATTACAACTACTGCAATCAATCAAATACTAACGCTCAGAGGATTAAGTAATTGAGTAGTTAAAATTTCGACTGAAAGATGAAAAACCTTCTCGTACCACAAAAATGGAAAATTCATTTAGTGCAGCAAATCTGTTAGTTGTAATAAAAACAGCGAATGTGTTCCACTCACAGATTGATACTTGTTTCGTCATCAAATGACCGACCGAGTCGTTCGAGTCCTCGCAGTTAACCTGATCTTCATCGAGATCATTTTGGAACTGAAGCAAGCAGGCTCCGTCCTGGGAGTCTTTGAAACAGATTCCACGCCTGTTTATGTTTAACTGGGATATGCGGTCACGAGAAGGAGCTCGGTAAATAACATCTTCTGTGGCACATAATTCGCTTAAACGTTTCTCGTACACGCTGCTCTGGAGGGATCCGACTTGAAGGCTGGAGTCCATTTCAGAGTCGCAGGCGCTGTCGGAGTAGCGGTATTCGCTGTTAGCGGAGAAATCGCTTTTTGTCATGACATCATAAGGACGAGTCTCAGTGGCCAACAGAAGATTATCACAAGACGGGAACTCTATTGGCAGATTATGCAAAGCAGGAGAAGATGGCGATGAAAAGCTGATACACTCATAATTTGGCTTTCTTTCTTTAATGGAAAATGACAGTAAATTGGTGTGAGAACCAAAATTTGCGGTGTTAATATCGCACTCGGTCATTTTTTCGTCAGAGGCTGGGCATTCATCTTTGTCATTTGATGAGGACTGAAGCAGTGGTTTTTTGATCTGAGACTTCCTTAGCAGCGGGATACTGATACGCTGCTTGAACACGTCTTTCTTGGACACTTGTGACACGCATTCCTGTGATTGGCAATTCGGAGAAGACTCTTTACAGCAAACCGATGATTTGGATAATGGAAAGAAGTGTACATTCTCAGACTTTGGAGTAACATGTTTGAAACTTTTTGAACTCGGATGATTTTGAGAGCTTCCATGAGCAGGCGACTCCAAGCATCCTGGACTCGGTTGCTCTGGGTGTCCAGGATTTGTTGTCTCGTGGCTTTGAAGAAACGAGGGATCCAATCGGTGAGCAGCGGAGAGTTTGCTCTCACCGATCTCGTCCGTGGGCGCATAATGTGAACGAGCTGACATCGAAAATGAATTTAGTTGAATTTTTATCCTTAACGACTAGAGTACCGTAAGATTTATGGAGCGTATTAAATTAGGAGTTGATCATGCGTTGCGTCGAAAGTTTAAATGATTATTTATGGGGAAAAAGGGAAACTATCACTTGACATCAGATAATCTAATCGTGAAAACTTTAGCAAAACACACATAAGCGACGAAAAATAAAATCCCATAAAATTTCTTCCCTTGTAAAGTAGTAAGAAATTAAAGTCCCTGGACTAACATTCAGAGAAGCATAATTGAAACATTATCAATACAAATAAAGGTACCCTATTAAAATTGTAACGACTATTGAAAGAATTATTTCACTTTCACATAAAAGCCGTGTGAAAGTTACATTCAATTCCTTAGAAAGAGACACGCCTGCTTTCCTCACACCAGTACTATAGGCTAAACAATTCTGCTTCAAAGAGAGGAATGTCCAGCGCAGGTTACAGTTTTAACGCACTGTTAACTAAGTCTTTCAATTATTCACTATGAAGCGCCGCTATTGCAGTTAAATAAGACATTCCCACTGGAATTAGAATTTTATTGTACAAACGAATGAATAAATGTTCTAGTTCGTTAACAGTTCTGAAAGGAGACTTCATTGCAAGAACAACTCAGAGCAAAATATTGCTGCACATAAGTCGTGCACGTCGAGACCTGATCCTGGAGAATTCCATGAGATGGGATGCTAGAACGTTTGTGTCAAGACGTAGGTGAATCAACAAGCGGTACCGCGTCTTGGGAAATGTCAATTTTTGATTAAAACCTAACGCTGCTTTTAGCAAGTTAGCATTCTTTCGTATTAAACGAATTGTATGCATGAAAGGTACAATTATATTTAGCTAAGGTTCGTAAGCAAAGTTTATTTGTATTAAACTTATGAGTGAATTTTGTCGTAATCATTGCACAGACGCAGCCATTATGATGAAGCAGTTCAGTCCAACACTTACAATTCTTAGGAACGGCAGCAGCAGCCACAGGGGAGCAGGTGTGAGGCGACAGTGGCACGGGCACGTACATTTCCCCTGTTAGATAAAGGCCTTCATCAAGATAACGGGATATGAGTGTTTCATTACAATCGATCGTAACGCTAAAGATATAAGTACACTTTGTTTCATGAAAACATACAATTATTATTGTCAATAATTTTGTGGAATATAATTACAAAAATATCGATTTTTTCGCGTATAAGAGCGACGCAATGGAGCGAAGTGAGAGCCGAGAACCAGAAGCTCACCTTTAATAAAGCTATACTGAGGGTCGTTGAGGTTGTAGTTGTGATTCCAAGGTTTGTGTTGGACGTTGCTGGGATCTGCAAGGTACAGGTTGCCGTCTCCCTGCGCCACCAGCTTAACGTAACTAGGGTTGCTGCGGTCAAGGTTCTTGTCCATGTTGGGATCCCCCGAAGCTGCGTCAGGAGGGATCTTGCGGGCGCCGTCGCCAGGGTGGCTGAGCACGTCCATCTCGAAGGCGTCCTGAGTGTTCTGAGGCGCCTCCGTCCACTGCTTCAGAGACTCGTCCTCGGAACTGATGAGGGACCGCGGCCGCATCGTCGGGTACTGCATGTTCAGCTGCAGCAATTTACATATTAACCATCATTTCAGATAGGCGTAAAAAATAAAAAGACAAAATATCATCGCCTACAAAAATACATTTGAGATTAAGTTTTTTTTCGTTAAGGTAGTTTTTACTAATCGGTTATTGCAGGACAGGAGTGACACATGATAATACACACAAACCATATTAGGTACTAAAAGTTTCACACTCTGAGGATCATCATAATGTGCATTTTTCATCTTAAAGGTCAGAAAAAAGGTCGAAGACGAGATGCTCTAGAATAGCAACTATTTTCTCCAGAAAATTTATCAGCTATTCAAATTAAAAACTGTTCGCAAAAAATATTAAGATATCGAGAAATTTACATTGGAATGCAAGAGCTTAAACATTGAATCAAGTCGTAAAGTAATCGTTATATATCATGATTAGATACATATTTCATGCAATTTAGTCTATTACCTGATCAGCTTCAACGTTGCAAAGCTTTGAGTTTCTGTGAGGTCTTAAATCAGACTTGAGATCATTTTTGACGTGAGAAGTGAGCCTGACTCGGTTGCTGCGTTGCAGGTTCTTCCGGCGCCAGCGACGTCGTTGCCATAAAAGAATGAAGGCAACCGTCAACACGAAGAGCAGCACTACCGGCACTATGACCAGGAGATCCTCGAGGGCAATGTTGATGCCTGACTCACCACGAGCGTCAAGTTCAGTGCAAAATTCTCCACTAGCTACAGAGGGACACAAACACCGGAAGCCTCCGTGGTAATTTAGGCAGGTACCGCCATTCTGGCACGGCATTTGCTTGCATTCGTCGACGTCGCGCTCACATCGCTCGCCTGCGAAGTTACGGCATTTGCAAATGGGGCCTCGACTGCCTTCTTCGCAACGCCCGCCATTTAAGCAAGGGTTTGGATTGCAAAAAGTCCCGTACTCGCATCGCTTTCCAGACAAGCGCACCGGACAACTGCACGAGTACGAGTTCCCTACGACAAGACATTCGCCGTCGTTGAGACAAGGCGAGTCGGAGCATGGAGCTCCGTCCAGCTCACACTGTTTACCCGAGTATCGGTCGGTGCAGGAACACTCGTACTGAGTCTTATTTATTTCAGTGCATGTTCCACCATTCAGACACGGATGAGACCCGCATATTCCTGGTGCTGGTAAAGTTGCAGGGCATGTGAGCTCAATGTTGACGAAACGTTTGAGTTTTGTAGCGCCTGATCCAGTCGTCACTAGAGACAACGGTAGTGAGTGGCCATTCAGAGTTATTTCGTCAACACAACCAATGAAACCACGACTGATCGCTTGAGTATGGGAGTGATCACCTGAAATTTTGGCCCCCAGGTACAATGTATCGGACAGCAGATTAAGAACATCACTGTCACCAGGGGCAACACTCGAGACCTCTTGATGGTCCACAGACAGAACAGATAAAGTTCCTTTTCGCGTTACGTTGATAAAGTGCCAGCCATTGTCACTAATTTTGAACTTAGCGAATGTAACGACTCCTTCACCACTGCCACATTCCCAACGATACTGCAGGTAACCATCAAGAACTTCGAGTGTACTGAAATCAATAGTCCCGGCAACGTGCATCAGGACTCCATAAGGATGACGCGTCCTTAAGAACAGGCTCAGCTGGAAAGAACTTTCTTCATTAACGCCAACTCCTTCGTACTGGGCATAGCTCTTGCCTCGGAATGATAAAGGTCGGACGGGGTGGTAGCAAGAGAGGCTATCACATCTACTCACATCAACTTCACACTGGGACCCAGAAAAGCCAATCTTACAGTGGCACAAGTGTCCTTTAGGGATGAGGTCTGTAGGCGTACACACCTGATATTCAAAGCAAGGCCGGTGGCCACATGCATTGACCAGATCATTGCAGTTGTCACCACCAAAGCCTTGGTGGCAGATGCATCCAGAATTGTGCTCGAAGCGCAGGGGCACGACGCTCTCCACTCTCGTATTGAGGGGCATGAGCGATTCATCTTTCACGACCACTACGTCAATACAGTCACCATTACCTGAACATTGCTCCTTGTTGCGGCACAGAGATTCCATTATACTCAAATGGTCAAGCGACAGTTTCCTCTTAATACGAGGTAGACTTTTTGCTAAAGATGTAATCGTTTCCAGCCGAGTAAAATATTCCTGGTTATTTTTCTGCAGGACTAATAGTGCATCTAATCCCTCATTTGTTTCTCGGCGCCTTCGTTCTAATCGCTCATGAACAACAGTTTGCAGACTAATGAGCACAATTTGGCTCTCACTCAGATAGAGCTCTGAAGCAATGCTGCTGATAAGAGCTTTCTTGTACCTTGCGATAAAGACCTCCGGAGACATGGAACCCAAGCGTACGATCACTGAACTATCTACCATTGCCTGCGTAAAGATGCGCACTTCAATAGAAGCTATAACAGAGCGCTGGAATTTGCCATCCGAGACGGAGATATTAAGACGGTAGGTGCCAGCGTCTAGCGGGGTGACAGCTACCAGCGTGCCGTCTTCAGCATCCACATCGAAGTAGTCTTCGTCCCCGTAGCGTCTGCCAGCCTTGCTGAAGGGCACGATGCTATAGAGAAGCGTGTCGTATGGATCTTTATCGATGGCATTGACTTTCCCGATGACGCCTCCTTTGTACGCCGAGCGGTAGGAGAAGACGGTCACGTGTACAGGGAAAACAGTGGGAGCAAATTTAGAGCGCTCCACTACCGTGATGTTGACGGTGGTGTCTGACGACAGCGCAGGAGTTCCGCTGTCGTACACGCGGATATGAAGCATGTATTCGCTTATCACCTGTTGAAAGAGATAAAAACAAAATTTATAAAGGAAAGAGCGGCTGTAAAAATTTTAAGTTATTAAAATACCACATTAAATAAAAAATAATAAAAATTAACATCTGAAATTGAACTTACGTTCAGCTGGTGTCTAATTAGTCTAGTACAGGCAATACCAATTAGAAATGATAAACAATAAAGCATATGGCGAAGTGAGTGATGCGTAGGGGAATGCGTGAAGTTATGTGTAGGGTGAACCTTTCTACTTGGGAAAAATGGCTCTCAGAAAAACCTACATTCCTGGTCACTGCGTGTGAACACAGAAATAGCGAGCACAGTTTCACCGGTGGGTTGCTCAGCGCATTCAGGCCGAACACAAATTCCCAAAGAATAAGGAACAGTCGTAGAATTATATATAGCTAAAAAAACTGCATAACCTGTACAGCGAAATTTAGCGTGCCTCAGACAAATTAAAATACTCAAATAAAAGTTATGAATTTTAACAGTTCAGAACAAAATTTTTGACCTGCATGTTACAGAGTATGGTTTGGTGTAGGAAATATTAAAAAAACATAGGGTTTGTTTTACAAGATTCTGTTACGAACAAAACGAACCTTATGGTCGAGGCCCATGGTGGCGAGTCTGACGACGCCGTCTTGGTCGACAGCGAAGACGTTGAGGCCCGTCAGGAGGTTGGGGTTTGACGTGACGTCCGTGACCTCCCACGTGAAGGGTGACGCGTTACCCACACCATCCGCGTCCGTGACGCGCAGGCGCAGCACCGGATAACCGAGCTTCTTGTCCTCCTGCCATAACATAACAGCGTCGAGATGAATAATACGGCTACGCAGCACCGGATAACCGAGCTTCTTGTTCTCCTGCCATAACATAACAGCGTCGAGATGAATAATACGGCTACGCAGCACCGGATAACCGAGCTTCTTGTCTTCCTGCCATAACATAACAGCGTCGAGACTTCAGCGTTGAGACATAATGGAGTAGGGTGTTGGGAAAGTATTAAGCTAAATCATGCAAAACAATAGTTACGTACAATTATATAAATAATGTAGCTTGAAAAAAGGTTAAGAAATCAACTTTCATAATAAATTAAATTGAAAGAGCCCTAGTGCTGAGATGCCAAACTTTTCGCGAGGGAAATTCCTAAGGCGTTCCAGAAGGCGTGTCGTCTACGAAGGAGCATAGGCCAGACTGTGCGAGGCGGCAACGTTTAAATGAGCTACAGAAATTTGATCCAGGGAGGTTCGTTTAAGACACTAGTATCGCATGCATGATCTGCAGCTCTGCAGACGTAGGTAATGGCCACGGCGGAGGGTCGACGGTTTTGAAGGGATACGGCCAACAATAACACTACGGCGGCACGGGCCGTGACTCAGCCGTGAAGCAATACGAAAAGCAACAAAAAATACCGCTATTGTAAAGACAAAAATCAGATCATCCAAGTAGCGAATACCGCGCAACGATTACTTCCCGAGAGGACGATCACGAACGTAAGTACATTTTTAACGCACAAAAATTTACAATGTTTGCAGTGTTTCATATCGACTTTCATGCGGGTGTCTCTCTAGTTGCCGTCATAAATTCCTAGAAAGAGTTTGATACAAGGCGCCTATTTGCCGTGGCGGCAAAGATAACGCAACCTAGTTCAATAATCAAATTGCTGAAAGGGAAGGGCGACGAAGTATGAATAAATGTTGGAGACCGACAGCACACCAGCGAGTTATTTGAATGGTAATGTGACAAATGAAATTATTTAAACGAATGCAGTGCCAAGTGCACGAGAGAAAAAGTGCTAAAAAATAGCTCGATGGATGTAAATTTTTATTATTATTTATGCAAGTCTTTTATTATTCAGATAGCTTTTTTAATTTTCTATTAATAACAAAAAATTTAAAGTAAATCAAAGGAATAAATAGCCTTCAGGGTGAACTGAAATAAAGCTACGCTGGCAGTGAAAACGAAAGCAGAGCAAAAGACAGCAGCGAGACCTGGACGATGGCGGCGTAGGAGGGCTGGTCGAAGAGCGGCGCGTTGTCGTTGATGTCGCCCACGGTCACGGTCACGGGAACGCTCGCTGACAGCGACGGACTACCACGGTCGCTGACGGTCACCTCAAGGCTGTGTTGCACAGCCTGGTGGGGTACGGTTAGGGTCACAGTTAAGGGGCAGTACATGAAGAACAATTAACCTGGCATGCAGATCCTCCGTAAGGGTCGAAAGATCTACCATTAATTAAGAATGCTTGATTCAACGAACAATCAATGGACAAACTTTGATTAATGTCGAGAATAACACGATATTCTTCTGAAATGCTGACATGATATATTCTGATTCAGTCGAAAAGTAGAACTCGAACTAGAGAAATTGTATCGATAATGCCGAAAGAAGCTAACTTATCCATTACTGTTCGGTTTGTAAAAAATGATTAACTTTTTAACTATATTCATTTTAACTATATGGATGCATAAAGAAAGGTGCATGTATGTACACGAGTTAAAGAGCAACGTTAAGAAGCGTTGCAGCTGACGGTGGACTCACGGCTTCTCTGTCCACCCTGCGGGCGAGGGTGAGGGCGCCGGTCTTGGCGTTGACGGCGAAGTGGCCGGCGTCGTTGCCGCGGCTGATGCTGTACGCCACGCGGCCGTTGTCGCCGCTGTCGGCGTCCTGAGCCGCCAGCTGTTCCATACAACATGTGAACAGGAGGCGTCAATACTCCCCCACGATACAATAAATATTACAATACTATAAATATTACAATACTATAAATATTACAATAAGCCAATGCAACGATACCACTTCACGACAGCGGTAAAATATGTCAGAAGCAATCGCTTTGCATGTCACCTGCACAATGTATTCGCCGAGAGGAGCTCCCTCGCTGACGCGCCCTGTGTAGGACTGCTGCGTGAAGGCAGGGGCGTTGTCGTTGGTGTCGAGCACCGTGAGGTTGAGCAGCGCCGTGGACGACAAGGGCGGCGTCCCTCCGTCCGTCGCCCTCACAGACACCACGACGCTTTGTAAGGCTTCGAAGTCCAGCTCCTTAGCCACGGAGATAACGCCTGTGGCCAAACACCAATTACTGTCACGCCACACACAAAGATACTCAAACAAGTCTTGCCTTGAATTTGTTACTGTCGCTTCTAAATTCTTTTTCGTAACGGGGAGATGGAAAAGGATGGGTTACTGGATGACACAAAGTAATATGCGAAGGCACTCACTTCAAAAATATAACTCATCACTCACTGCAGTGAGTGACAGGGAGCGCATTTCCTCGTCGACGAAAACGTGAAGTCACGGACGGTCAGACAGACGGATATGACGAGCACAATAGGGCATTTTTTCAATATATGAGAAAATGCGCTAAAAATAAGACAATGAAACCCTACAGGTGGTATAAACGAAACGATATTCAATTATACGCAACTCAAGTCAATATAAAATTGTATTATTAATGAAGGATGGTGCATCAAGATATTCTTTGAAGAAAACTCAACTGTCAGCGTATTGCCCGGCACAAATACAGTGGAACCTCGGTTTTTGAATGCTTTAGGTTTAGAACTGCATCCACCAAATCGGTATTCAACTATGAAATGTAAGAAAATTTTAGTGAACAAAATAAAACTTTTAAACCAGAAACCCCGCTTCAGCCAGCGTGCGCTGGGTAAAACCGTTCGTTCGGCCCAGAGCGTGTCCGGACTCAAATTGGAATCAATCTTTAATGTTAAATATGATAGTATTATAGATGATTATACTTGTATTATGGAACTTTTGAACTGATTATGCAGCAATCGTCAATATGTTCTCAGTGAAAATATTGTGAATTTTCTTGACATATTCTTTGTGATGAATTTAAAGGTAATTTGCGATTTAATCTTTCGTTTAACCTGAATCAAAATAAAATGCGACCAGCGTCCATTGAAGGAGAGTAGAGATGAGAATTGACCGGTGGCAGAGAGGTAGAGAGGTAGGCAGCACTGACCGGTGTTGGGGTCTATACGGAGGTAGGCTGAAAGGTAGAGAGGTAGGCAGCACTGACCGGTGTTGGGGTCTATACGGAGGTAGGCTGAAAGGTAGAGAGGCAGGTAGCACTGACCGGTGTTGGGGTCTATACGGAGGTAGGCTGACAGGTAGAGAGGCAGGTAGCACTGACCGGTGTTGGGGACTATACGGAGGTAGGCTGAGAGGTAGAGAGGCAGGGAGCACTGACCGGTGTTGGGGTCTATACGGAGGTAGGCTGACAGGCTGCTGGGCTGAATGCTGTACGTAATCTCAGCATTAATGCCCACGTCTCGTGACGTGGCCATAACACGTGCCACCTCAGCGCCCACGGCGGTGTTCTCCTTCACCGACGCCTGCAGCAGCGTGCGCACAAACTCAGGCGGGTTGTCGTTGATGTCTGCGATATGTTGACACATGATCACCACGAGATGGAAGGCGTGCAACTGGTCTTGGTAATTATTGCTTTGTGACACACATGTAGGACACATATGTAGGACACACGTGTAGGACACATATGTAGGACACACATGTAGCACATATATGTAGGACACAGAACTGTAGGTGCATTAGGCGTGTCACAGCTTGAGTTCTCTTGCGCTTCTATGCAAATAAGCGAGTAGTTCAGAGGCTCAGAAATAAAGTAGTGAAGTTAATAAGAATTCACAGTGCCAGACAGTGCCAGGCGTTGCCAGTCAGTGCCATCACCTGACACGGTGATGAGTAGCGTGGAGGTAGAGTGCAGGGGAGGCGTGCCACCGTCGCTCACTTCGAACACGAGTGTGTAGCGGTTGCGCTCTTCTCTGCTCAGAGAGAACACAAGGCCAGCGGCGTTATTAATCTGAACAAACAGGTCACACATGGAAGTGTTGAAAGTTGATGATAGAACTCAACATAATGCTAGTCAATATTCGGTACGTAATATATCAAAATAGGCTATAGAAACGAAGTGACATTCGTGAACAATGTAGCAATCCGAGCCTCCCTGATCTTGTATCCTTCTCTTATGCGCCCCCAGTCTCACTAATGGGATTTTTATCCCTCCTCCTCCTTCTCCCACCACCGTATTTTTCTACCCTCCATTCTCTTGCTCATCATCCCTCCCCTCATCCAACCACCCTACAGGCGCCCCTCTGACGCGCATGGGCTCCACCCCCACCACTACCGTCACCACCACCACCATCAACAACTACATCACGTTTACATCAACGAGAAAATTTAAAAATATTTAATTTAGAAATGGAGTATAAAATACCGTTATAGGTCATCATATTCCATTATAAAATAAATATTGCTGGCAGAGACAGGAAACAGATGAGTTAGGACAAGACCAGGCACCTGTCGAGAGGCCGCGCGAGGCTGACGAGGCCCTCACGCTCGTCCAGGACGAAGTGGCCCTCCTCGGAGTCCAGGAGACGGTAGTGGACCAGCCCGCCGTCACCTGCACCCACGTTAGGTGTGTGTAAGTATAGGCTAATGTTGGGTATATATACTTCGTAATAATAACTTTAGAAATTGATCAAATCCAATTAGCTGTTTAGTTAATTACGCTCATGTTGGGTACATATAATTCGTAATAATAACTATAGAAGTTAGATGAAGTCCAATTAGCAGTTTAGTTAATTTCGCTGTATAAGTAGGCATATGAAAACGATGTAAATTTATTTTTACACCGTTGATCGGTCCAGCTTTCCGTAAGCATGAAGTTGTAATCTAATATAAACAAGTGTAATGAGAAATTTTATAATTTAGCTTTAAAAAGTTAATTTCTGCAACTGTTAAACGTGTTTTGTAATTGTTCTGTTAATATACCGAGACAAAAAATTACCAGTAAAATATTAAGAAAAATTATTTAGTTATCGAAAGAAAAGCTGATGTCTGCTGCCACTTCATCTTTGCGCCCGCACGAATTGAAGAACAATTGGGAAAAAATATTACAACTCTTTCGTGATAAACATTGTTTTCATTCTGGTTTATCTTTATTTATTTTTATTTATGGTTCTTTTTATTTATTTTATGGTTCTCGCTTTATTTACATGAATATCTGTTCATAAATTTTCATAATATATTCCAAGAATGGTAAAATCTCGCCCATCTGAGTCATGCCACATAAGTAGCAAGGAAACCTTGAGTTTCAAACTAACAGCTGACATATCAGTATGTGTTCAATGTCAGAATGAATAATGAAAATTTCTCCATTCAATCTTAGCAAATTACCAATAATTTCGAAATATTACATTTCTCTATACAGCCATACATGCTTCTCCGAACATATCTCGGTATAGAGTTCCTGCACTGAAATACAGGTTATTTGTTGTTCTTGTTTCTTGAGCCGAAATACAGTTTATTTTGTTGTTTCTTGCGCCGAAATACAGTTTATTTTGTTGTTCCTTGCGTCGAAATACAGTTTATTTTGTTGTTTCTTACGCTGAAATACAGTTTATTTTGTTCTTTCTTGCGCCGAAATACAGTTTATTTTGTTGTTTCTTACGCTGAAATACAGTTTATTTTGTTCTTTCTTGCGCCGAAATACAGTTTATTTTGTTATTTCCTGCGCCGAAATACAGTTTATTTTGTTCTTTCTTACGCCGAAATACAGTTTATCAAACTGAAAAAGTTGATGAATGTCATACCCAGATCAGGGTCGGTGGCGTGCAGTTTGGTGATGACGGTGTTGAGGGGCGCGTCTTCCGGCACAGTGGCGGAGTACTGCCCCTCCAGCAGGAGAGGAGGGTTGTCGTTCTCGTCCGTCACTGCCACAACGACGAGCACATCGCAGTGCCACTCTGGCACCAGCCAGTCAGATACCCTCACCTGAGGAGATGGTGTGTGGACACTTAGAGTGCGAGCTTTCATAATCTGAGGCATGTCATTCACAAGTCAATTGACATGAGCTTGAATCTCGGTACGAAAGTTGCCAAAAACAGTTAACGGGAATATCATAAATCACTGACCACGGTTATTAATTAGAAAGATTTCATTTTCTACTTAGCATTAGGTACTGGTGACGGTACTTATAACTTCTGAACGTCTCAATAGACATAGAAATAGCGGGCAAGTCAGATAACAGAGGAAACATTACAGCAAACGCCTGAGACTTCAGACCGTGAGCAGGAAGGTGTCGGTGGTCTCTCGGTCGAGGGGCGCGGCGGTGGTGAGCTCTCCCGTGCGCTCGTCCAGCGCGAAGAGTTCGCTGCCCGCACCCGACAACGCGAACCTGGGGGACAACATCTCGTCAAACTCCGAACATTTGTGCTATAAAGTATTGTAAGCGCGACGGCTATACCTGCCGCTCTTACTTCAGCGCCAGTCAGACAAACTTTAACCGTGCAGGGAAGTGAACGTGGAGAATTTCTGACACTTTATTGGTAACGAAGGCACAAGTGGCTACGGTAAAACGTGGTAAAGGGAACAGTGAAGACTCAAACTGAACCCAAAATAAACTCGGAATGAACTCAAAAAACCCAGCGGATGGCTGGTACTGAACCTATTGTTCGTGGTTAACCAATAAGATTCTGCAAACAAAGAATAACAAATTTAAGATGTAGCAATAACGGTTAATCCTAGTTATTCCTAACAAAATTACTAATAATAAATATCAAAACTCGAATTTATATATCACAATATAACTATTCACAATCATCACGCACTAATTTACATGTCACAATAAATAAGGTCACAGAATTAAGGTTCACCAGCAGTGAAGTGCAAAGTTCTTCACGACTAATAGAATGAAAGTGACGCGCTTCGGATGATCAGGTTGAACAGGCTTTTTCTCTAAATGAAAATGCTAGTAAAACCGAAAGACAAAAACATTAATGGAAAAATGGGTACAAATTCAACACTAAAAATATAAGAAATAACTGTTTCAATGATCGCCAAAAAATTATAAGGAAAATCGCGGTACAAAAATTAGAGACGCATGAGGCGCGGCTACAGTATGGTATGAAATTGTTGGTAAGATATTGTATGATATGAAATTTTTATAACACTTACATTTTTACCACGTTTAATTCTGGTTAATTATAAATTAACTAAATTAAGAGCTCATGGTACACTTGATGGGTATTTCCAAGAAGGGATCTTAACCCAAAATAATTTTCGGAAGGAGGTGACTGCGACATAGAAGGAACCTAACCTAAACGAAAGAGACTTGACTCCAACACAGTACATTAGCTTCCAGCGACGTGGCCGTGTAAATAGCTCGTCAACTTATCAGCAAGCATTAGTTCAGCAGAGGAATTGTTCTCACCGAGACACATCAACTTATCAGCCAGCATTAGTTCAGTAGTATAATTGTTCTCACCGAGACACATCAACTTATCAGCCAGCATTAGTTCAGTAGTATAATTGTTCTCACCGAGACACATCAACTTATCAGCCAGCATTAGTTCAGTAGTATAATTGTTCTCACCGAGACACATCATTAGGGCTGGCGTCAGCGTCCGAAGCTTCGATGACGAGTAGCGCCTCGCCAGGAGGCGCCGCCTCCGAGACACTCACATGCATTTCAGACGTCGGGCATACTGGACCATTGTCTGAAAATTAAATAACAATTTATTGAATAAAATATTTACCGTCTGTCACCCTTTACGCCATTCCGTCATGATCATTTTATTAAGTCATTAAAATGGTGTTAGTTCATAAAGGTGATTAAAGTAAAGGTTATAGGTCATTTAAGTTTTCAGGCGTAACTCACTAAAGTGACGTTAATGACAACGCCTGAGTAAACTAATTCAATGCCGTTCATATGACATGCCAATATATAGCTTATATTGTCATCAACAACTAAGGCTTATCCTAAAATAAGATTTTTAGTTAACAACATGCATGCGAATGAGAGGTAGTTAGAGGCAAATGTCTGCGCGGTACGCACAAGAACAAGCCACCAGATCCACCTACATAAGCATTAGAATTTGACTGCAGTGCATGTACTTTTTTATCTCTTTTAGTATTGGTATCTTGTGGTTACTTTGGAACTTCGTCTAAGTTCTATGAATATGTCAAGTTCCCTCGAAAATAGGATTGAACCTGACTACACGATAATCTCTTACTATCATAATAATAAGTAAAGAAAATAAGATGTATAAAAAAGTTTAATAAAGTAATGAATTTCCTGGAAGTAATGTAGTATTGCAATAATTCCACAGCTAAGTCTGGTAACAAATCGTGATCATGTGGCACCGTTGACGTCGACGACGGAGACGGTGAGGGAGCAGTTGGCAGAGAAGGTCCCGTCAGACACTGTCACTGACAGACGGTGCGTGGGGTGCGTCTCCCTGTCTAGGCTGCCCGCCACACGCACCTGCATGTAAATAATTACAAGGAGGTTCAGGTTATAGGCGGTGAATAAATTTATTGCCTTTATTCAATTCAACAGGCAAACGCCTGTTGAATTAAAAATTTCTAAATTAATAAGATATTAATAAGGCCGAAAAACTAATGGGGATTTAAAACAAAAAGCACTGTAGAAAGCATCTGGGAAGATGCCGTATTACGGTACCGTCTCGAGTGGTACAGATGGCAGTTGCCAGTACCGTATTACGGTATCGTCTCGAGTGGTACAGATGGCAGTTGCCAGTACCGTATTACGGTATCGTCTCGAGTAGTATAGATAGCAGTTGCCAGTACCGTATTACGGTATCGTCTTGAGTAGTACGGAAGACAACAATCATTTTTAATCTGAGTCTTTAACAACAATCTTTAGTCTGAATATGCTCAATTCTCAATACGTGTCGAATGAACTAAAATCAACACCATCGATTTCTAGAGTGACCTGGCCCGTAGGGTCGATGTAGAAGAGAGCGGCGTCGTTCCCGTCAGTGAAGAAGTCGAGGTTTTGTTGTTGATCTTCATCAGCGTCTGAGAGCGGCAGCAGCAGCACCACGGCCCCGGGCTGCGCGTCCTCCGACACTGCACACAAAAGACTGCCTTGCAGGGGCCATACAAGGCCAGCTTCTGACAATAAGAGGGTCTATTGGCTCATACATGAGAGGGGTGATGTTAGGAAAACAGCTCACAAAAGACTGCATTGCAGGGGCCATACAATACAGGGGCTATTGACTCGTACATGCGGGGGGAATGCTTGGCAAGACCACGACATGGAGTGTGGAGTAGTTAATCAAATGAAGCAGAAAAACAAAAAGTATAGTTACACAAGCAGAACTTGATATGAGAAATTCAAGAAACTTCTAAAGTCAGATGGATTCAAGTACATTGCGAGTAATCAATCACACAGCGAATTTCGGGAGTACTTTCTTTGGAAATGCTTTCTATTGAAATTAGTTTATTATAGTTGAAACATAAGGATCCGACACATGAACTGCAAGTCTTCTAAAGAAAATCTATTATAAACAATAAGTGCTAGAAGTAGTAGTCCTGAAGTATACACATAAAAATAGATGGTACACATAAAAATGGATGAAAGGTGAGAAATAAGAAAGAGAAATAAGATGATAAAAAATATGAGCAATGACAAAATTTGTGGTGGCCTGCAAGATTTGTTATCTCACCAGACGCGTAGTAGACGGGGTTGGAGAAGACAGGAGGGTTGTCGTTGCAGTCAATGACGGTAATGACGACAGTGGCCGAAGCTGACAGTGAGCTGGCGCCTCCGTCTGACGCCAGCACCACGAAAGACAGGCGCTCGTTAGTCTCTCTGTCCAACGGGGCGATGAGCCTGACGACGCCGGTCTCGGGGGTGACGTGCACAAGACGGCTGACCGTCGCGGGGGTGGACGGGGACAGGGCGTACGTTATCTGCACAGTTTGATGCGCATTATAATTAAACTGAAGCTTAAAACATGTTGACATCGTGAGGGGGGAGGGTGCATGGGATAATTTCAAAACGGCAGCCAATAACATAAGGCATATGGATCATTCGTATTTCTTTCAGCTAGTCCATACATTAACCCAAATTGGTGTCTCTCTAATTTAGGGAGATAAAATACAATTCATTAAATTTAGGAACGGGGAATAAGTTCTTCAGGTCTGGAATACATAAATATTAAACAAACAGCAATTTAATGAAGAAAATGCAACAAACTTGACGATACCTCTGCACCCATCAAAATCTCTTACGGTTAGGTTAGATTTTCGAGAGAAATTAAGTAAAATTTGTACCGATGACGAGCCACAGCGAGTCACTGTAAACAAGCGAGATATTCAAGCTCACATCATACCACCATCTCAACTAAGCAGAGAAACAAGGCTGTAGAGTCCACTATCTAATGAAAACATTGTTAACTTAATGCTGGAACTAACCTGAGCGTTGGTGCCGGCGTCCTGATCAGACGCCGTGACGATGAGCAGCGTCGCCCCGACGGCCGCGTCCTCAGCCGCCTGCACCTCGTACACCGACGACCCGAACTCCGGGGCGTTGTCGTTGACGTCCATCACCTGGCGGGGGAGGAACAGGTCACGGCGGTGGACGGCAATAGGGCACGAGGAACAATTCTTACCCGAACACGTGTTGTGGGAAGATACAGTGGCGCGCATATCGTGTTATTACTACACGTACAGCTGCCGCGTAGCGGAGGCACAGTTTGAACAACATGAACATTACAGCGGACACGACAGAGTCGCGACCAAGTCCGGCATCCTCATACTTGCATGCTCTACGCTTTAGTTTTGCAATCATGAATCCATTGACAAGTAAGTAAGAATACGATTTCATTCTCAAGCGTTAATTAACATTGTCGGAATATTACCCCATGGTTTGTTCTGGTCATACGAAACCACCATGGGTGGTTTCATACGAAAAAGGTCATACGAAACAGACATGGGGTCAAGTTCTGGCAAAGAAAACCTCCATATACTTTGAATGCTTGAGGGTAAAACGTCCGCACATGCCTCAAAGGCATAGAAGCAAGAGTGTGTTAAAATAATTATTACTATATAGACGGATTTCGTGCTAAACTTTGAACTGGGTTAGTTCGATGAATAAAAGCTGATGGAGGATTTGTTAAGCCATGCCACCGCTGCATCAACGATACCAACTGATTTTAACACGTAATTATTATATAACGCGACCGCTGCAGTTATTCAATATTAATTCTCCGGTGATTAAGCACTTACAGCTGAAATGAAAGCACTTGTAAAGGTTTATCGTATTATTAATGCAATAGAAAAACAATTCACTGATAATAATTGCGATGTAGCTAATAAAGCGTGCGCCCTCACAGCCCAAGGCACTGACCACGACTTGGATGGTCATGTAGTCGAGGGTTGGGGGGGAGGTCAGGGTCTGGTTGACGACGATGACCTCGTGACTTCGTCGTGTCTCGTGGTCCAACATCCTGTTGAGGATCACGTCTCCTGACGGCGAGACGCTGAACTGCGCAGTCTCGTCAGCAGTGAGCGACGCTTTGTCAGCAGTGAGCGACCCTTCGTCAGCAGGCGCACCGTCAGTCACCAGCCAGTACTGCACGGGCATGGGGCCGCCCTGCCAGAGGGTCGTCACCACCGTCCCTGCAGAGGGCATGGTACTGCTGACGCGGTTGTTCAGCGATAAGCAACACCTAACACTGTGCTAACTTGAAATTGATGAATTGATATTATACGGCACTGGAAACGCGGTGTTCAGCTCTGAGAAACATATTATTCAATGCTGAAATTAGAACGTATGAAATGTATAAAGAATAAAAATAAATAAACATTTCCAATATGTTGAAATACTTAAAGAGACCAGGAGAGGAGCATTAAACTTTAATTTGCAACACATCCGTAAGGTACGTGGGACATTATTATTCAGCTGGACCGAAGGATAATGTCTAGGATAACTAGACATTTTTCGTTAGACAAAAATTAGGGATAATGTCAAAAAATTCTTAGACGTTCTAACCATTTGAAGGGGCGTAAAAATTTTTCAGATTGATTTAAACAAAGCCTATTCGTCAGTTGTGAACTAAAATCATCAATATCTGTCGCATGAATATTTTGCGCTATTAATCAAGGTTTAATGCGAGGAATTTAAAAGCAAAGAAAATACCACAAAAATTCACCATATCTACGTTTAATAGCATTATTTTCATGTCTTATCTATTTATTTTTAGTGCATTTTACTTTACTAATTGATTTATTTGTGTTTCTAGGACTGAACTTTTTCTGAACAGAATTTTGTGGTTTGAACTGACGATGGAGCTGGACTCCGAAACGTTTTCTCTTATAAAGACATGGTGAATTTTTGTGGTATTTTCTTTGCTTTTAAATTCCTGGTTAACTTGCGATTCAAGCAAACCAGTGATTTTAATACTTATATCTAATCAAAATAAGGTTTATTGCGCTATTATTCAATGAAAGACACGAGCCCCAGACGAGCATGGCCGCGAGGTGTGTCTGGCTTACCCAGCGCGGCGTCCTCGAGCAGGAAGAACCTCCTGAAGGAGGCGGGGCAGCGGGGGCTGGCGTGGGACGGCGGCAGCAGGAAGACGCTCACGGGCACGTCGCTGTGATGCTCGGGGTGCCCTGCGTCACTAGCACGCACGAAGAACTGATACACTTCGTTCGCTGGGAACAAGGGAACAAGTCAACAATACGCACGAAATTATAGTAAATAAGTCGAATAATAACAGGCACAATATTGCAGTAAATAAGTAAGAGAACAAGTCAACAATAGGCACGAACTTATAGTAAATAAGTCGAATTACAACAGTGAGGGGATAGTTGACATCAGATAACGCCTCAAGGGTGCAAGAAGCAATTACGATCTCCACAAAATAATATGCAAAAGACGACGTACGACTCGCTGCAATATATTTCGTTAGGTTTTAACTAACAGAAAGAAAATTTAAACGATGGCTGCTCAACTAAGAAAATTTGAATTCAATTGTGTACGTTAATAACTTGAACAAGGAACTCCCATGATTGAAATTTGCTTCAAGATGAGTTAGCCAATTCTGATGGGTTAAACACTCGTAGCGGGTAGACTACGATGTTCTTTTACCGGTTCATAGAAGTTCTTTACCGGTTTATAATCCTACCGATTATTTGGATTTGGTCAAGAAATCAGGTAGCATTTAGCATGAAATGAAGTGGGATATTCTAACATCCTATGAGCATATTAGTACAAATGAAATGCTATATTACATATTGTGAGTTTAATAGATACCAGAAGCGCCAACGTTTAATTTATCTAGCACAAGAGATCAGACAGTCCGTATGAGACTAAAATATCAGATGGCCGTCGCACTCCAAATGTTAAAATTACAAAATTTAATTCCCAAAGAGTTGCTTCTCAGTCACGTTGCATGGACAGCCCAAATCTCCACTCAATAATAATAATTTACGATTTGGAAGATTCTCGAAAATCAGTAACGACACTCATTTTCTTTTAGGAAAGCTTGAGTAAATAATTTGGGCCTAAATTTATCCATTAACCATCATTGCGAAAAATAGCAGACTTCAAAAATAACTTCATTAAAAAGTTCACGGCAAATTTCCCGGCTTGTCTGCTGAGATAATCAGCTGATAAGTTTCATTTATGTCGGATTAATAATATTTCAGAAAATCGAATTTACTTTCAATAGGCTGCTAATTGATGAAAGTTGTACAAAAATAAGCACCATGCGCCTGCCGAGGCTTGAGCGGCTCAGTCTGCCAGTGGCACTGAAGCATGAGTTTAGGTGTCGCTCCTACTGGGGCCATACTTTCAAAACTCGCTAAGTGAACGTAAGTGCTTACGTTCTATTTTCTTGTCTATGATTGGTGGATTTTGCTTGAAAGGCCGTCAATGATTGGCTGATGATTTTACGATCTCTTAAGTTTTTGGAAAGTATAGGCCCTGACCTCTGCAGCCTATGATGGTTGTCTACTTGTAGCGCTCGCACCAGCAACACTCCGAGTGGATAAGCACGATAGTTTATAGTAATAGCTGTTAACGACATTTTTAATTCATTAATTCTTCGTTTGATGACAGATTTTGAACCAACGTATAATAATGTCTCATACGAGTATCACTGCTATGAATTATGAATATCGAAATTAGAACGAAAAACATCAACAATATCCTTGTTATTCTAATAGTAGGCAGAGCACCTGCTAACCCTAACAGCATTTCGTAACGTACCCCCAACGCCGAGATAACAAATATTATATGATACGAAATAACAATAATAAATAAAAAATAAATTGTACCTATATGATACGAAAAACAAAAATAAATAAACATAAATACCATATTATACGAAATAACAATAATAAATAACAATAAATAGTATATGATACGAAATAACAATAATAAATAACAATAAATAGTATGTGTTACGAAATAACAAAAATAAATAACAATAAATAGTATGTGATACAGAATAACAAAAATAAATAACAATAAATAGTACGTGATATGAAATAAAAATAATAAATAACAATAAATAGTATTGATACGAAATAACAAAAATAAATAACAATAAATAGTATATGATACGAAATAGCAATAATAAATACCCATAAATAGTATATGAAACGAACTAACAATAATAAATAACAATAAATAGTATATGATACGAAATAACAATAATAAATACCCATAAATAGTATATGATTCGAAATAGCAATAATAAATACCCATAAATAGTACCTATATGATACTAAATAACAATAATAAATACCCATAAATAGTATATGATACGAAATAGCAATAATAAATACCCATAAATAGTATATGATAGGAAATAACAATTATAAATACCCATAAATAGTATATGATAGGAAATAACTAACCTTGCCCCAGGGCGGACTGCTTGAGGTGCACGACGCCGAGCCGCGCGTCGATGTCGAACATGTGCAGCGCCAGCGACGCGTTCGCCTCGTAGAGCGCGTAGCTCACGGCGCCGTTAGCGCCATCGTCCGCGTCACGAGCAACCACCTGAACCAGCAGAGAGCGACAGTTTAGCTTTGATATAACTGATAACTATAAGTTATCATAAGTTACTTTGATAACTATAAGTTATTGTGGGGAATAGGACACAGGAAGACTGGCTAGAGGGGGGATTAGCTTTGATATAATTTATTGTGGAGAAGAGGACACAGGAAGACTGGCAAGTGGGGGAAAAGCTGAAAAAATATAACTCAGTACTCACTGCAGTGAGTGACAGAGAGCGCATTTTCTCGTCGACGAAAATGTGAAGTCACGGACGTACAGACAGACATGGCGAGCACAAAAGTGCATTTTTTCCATAAATGAGAAAATGCGCTAAAAACGGAATATTGTTGTGATGTTAGGCTACAACAAACTGAAAAAAATTGGACAAATTCTTTATGCTTTCAAATATACGGCTCACCTTGAGTATTGTGTCGCCCACTGCGGTGTCGACCCTGACGTTAGCCTGGTACTGCGGCAGCGCGAAGAGGGGGGCGTTGTCGTTGACGTCGTCCACGAGGACGCGGACTCTGGTGAAGTCCGTCTTGCCGCCGCCGTCCGTCGCTGACACCACGACGAGGTACGAGGACTGCACCTCGCGGTCCAGCTCCACCACAGTGCGCAGGGTTCCTGAAATGCCAACTGCTCTCTTAACCTCGCATCAGAATTAGTTATGTGGTTGGACAAACTCCAACCACATGAATAATCCTCAATAAAATCCCCCTCTCGACGTTACCAGGTTTTAAGCTTCAGTTTCACATTGACAAAGTGAAATTGTTGCCGTGCCGTATGTTACGGCACGGCAACAATTTCAGCAATGAATGATCTTAGTTTGTAATTGGATAACTTTTGTATTGACTTTTTCTGATTAAAAAAGGAATAAGTGTTTGAAATGGACTTAAACTCAAATACTCTAACGATTTCTTGAAAACAAATATGATCAATAAATATGGCAGAACCTGTGAATAAATGGCCCTCGCTACTCTCTTAACCTCGCATCAGAATTACAGAGTGAAAATTTACAGACGCGGCAGCTTCTGATTTGGATTACCAGAAGCTGGGGCGACTCTAAATTTTGTTAGGATAGTCAATACCGTGACATGCGGCACGGCAACAGTTCTAGCAATGTATATCGCGCATATATTTAAAAAAATTTACATTGTAAATTGAGATCGTCTAACTTTGGTGAAAGAATACATTTATAGCAAATATTCATGAATGAAAACTGCCGTACTTGACGCACAAATGCAACCATTATCATCTGCAAGCCAGGCTCTCTGTATCATACTTCAACAACATTTTCTCTAATAAATGTTTGCGGATAATTTGTTAAAGATAAGGCAATTCCTCACCGTCCTGGTCAATGGAGAACACAGATCTGTGGTCATCGCCCAGGATGCTGTAGACGAGGCTGCCGTAGGGGCCAGGGTCACCGTCGGCCGCCTCCACGCTGGCCACGGCCGAGTCAGGGGCGGCCGACTCTGCCACACGCGCCTCATACAGCGCACGACTGAACCTGCCAGCAGCACAACACACGTGACCACGTGCTGGTGCCAGCAGCACAACACGTGACCACGTGCTGGTGCCAGCAGCACACACGTGACCACGTGCTGGTGCCAGCAGCACAACACGTGACCACGTGCTGGTGCCAGCAGCACAACACGTGACCACGTGCTGGTGCCAGCAGCACAACACGTGACCACGTGCTGGTGCCAGCAGCACAACACACACGCGGCACCACACAGCGCGTGCCAAAAATAGAGCAAGTTGCCTATCAGGAAATGAAATATAAACGGAAAAATTTTCCATAATAATCGTGAAGTAAATAATCTCATGAGATTTATTTTGCTTAGGTCGCATCGATTAAAATTAAATTCGTCAATCTTCCTTTTTTTCTACGTTATTAGTTCTTACATTACCCATGTTTTCACCTGCTTCTTCCACTGTCCAAATTCTTCTCATTCTCATGCCCTGTAACTCACTTCCTTGCTATATAGTTGAACGATTATATTCATTGTCCATACATTCAACTAATTAATTAAAACACTAAAAGTATTTCTTTAATCAGTATTATACTTTTCGTACTCTTCAATGAGCATCAATGCCACGAACCCGAGTCGCATATAAAAGTAAAGTAACGCAATACGTTGGATTAGACTTTATTGATGATGATATGAACAGGTAAACATCCACGCGTTTGGTTAATTAAAGGAAAATAATGCAGTACATTGGAAAAAAGCACTTGTCAACGGAAACGATTAACACGTAGTGAATTGTAGAAATTATTTATTATGATCTGAACAGGAAAAAGTCCACGCGTTTGGTCCTGCATGAACCAAAAGACTGACTTGGGTGGACGGTTGTTGGTGGGCGTGACGGTGACGTTGAGGGACGCGAAGACGACGTGCACGCCGTCAGTAACTGAGACGTTGAGCACCAGAGACGTGACGTCAGCGAGACGTTGTGGTGACACTACGGACACAACACCTGCCGGGGGAGGAGGTCGTCGTGAGTGACGTGTGGGGGCTACCGCCTCGTCTCGTGCAATGACGAGCTAAGAAGCCAGGGATGGAGCGTCACGACGTGATCTCGTCAGATGCAGTAAAGAGTTCATCATTTGCTATATGATAGTTAGCGATACTTCAGCTTCTTCTTATATTACAGGACAACCACAACAACTAAAGCCGAGCAGCAACACCTGAAGAAGAGCAGCAACATCAGTAGACGAGCAGCAACAACATCGTCACTCACCAGACGTCGGATGCACCACAAAGGTCGGCAGGCCGCCATCGTCTGCCACGATGTCGTAGCGCAGGCGACCGCCATCCGACTTGTCGGGGTCCGCCGCTCGTACCGCCGTGACCGCCTGGCCGACCGCCACGTCGGGGGATACCGCCGTGGCGAACGCGGCGGACGCCCACACCGGCGCGTTGTCGTTGAAGTCTTCAACTGCATGGAGGCGAGGGTTGGTGTGAAAAAGATACCATCATAATATGATATAATAGATCTCAATTGTTCTCGTAATTCGCCAAGTTGCGTTTCATTCAATCTCCCACAAACTGTTTGGAAAGATTCCCCTTCCCACATCACTGCGACGTAGAGCGTTGGCTAAAAACATTTCGCAGGAAGCAAGGTATTAACGAAGTTTGGAAATTATAACAATTTCATCGTTAGAATGGAAATAATGTTGTTAATGAAGATACACGCGTAAGCTCGAAGAAGCATCAACGAAATAGTACTGAGTAACACCGAACAATTACAAGTCGAAGAAGCATAAACGAAAGAGAATAGAGGAACCCCGAACAATAACACTACCAAATGCTGCTCTGTCCACCCACCCGTGACGACGATGGTGACGGTGGTGTTGAGGGGAGGCAGTCCCGTGTCGGTGGCTGAGACGAGGAGCTCATGCTGCACGGGCTCGTCGCCCCCGCCGTCAGCATCCAGGTCCCCGATGAGGACGACCTCGCCCCCCGTGCCCGCCACGGTGAACAAGGAACACCCGCGTACGCAGCGGTACCGCAGCCGGCCGTTGTCGCCCGTGTCCGCGTCACTGGCCTTCACCTGAGCGCGGGGGAGGAGGTAAGGCACTGGCGCTGGGAAACTCGGTAGAAATGTCGAGAGAAATTTTAAATTCTTACAATGGCAGGAAACCAGGCTTGCGAAACTTATTACTTCACAATGTAATTAAATGTAGAGAGATTAGGGACCAGATTTTTGAGCGATAAATGCTGCAACATTGATGAAATGACCACTGATGTGTCGTTGATACACAGAAGGCAGGCAGTTCATCTCGATATGATCACTACTTCACTCCCAATATAGATGAGCCATGGATAGTAGCAGGTTTACTTAATGCGAACGAGTAGGACCAGATATTAAAAACCACATCGAAACACCTTGTTTGTTACCGAATAAAGATATCCTCAAACTTGAGTACCTTTTCATCGGCAACTTCTTCCGTACGGTACCCTTTATTATAAAATTGCGAACCCACCCGATCGAATACATCAAGGACTGCAAACAAAAAAATGATTTATATTCCGATAATAATATATTTTAATCTAAAAAACCAACATAAACAATAAGAGCCTGTAACAAGAGACTGTGGTATGGTTGCTGCAGTTCACTACATGGCGGTGAAGCCGATGATAATAGTAAATTTTAGTTATAAGAATTAATTTTAAGAAATTACATAAAAAATATGGGCCTATTATTTTAATCTAAAAAAACAACATAGACGATAAGAGCCTATAACGAGGCTACTCACCCTGGCGACGACAGTGCCCGGTACGGCGGCCTCGGAGACGGCGGCGCGCAGGACGGGTGCAGGGAAGCGCGGCGCGTTGTCGTTCACGTCCGTCACGGCGACGATGACGAGCGCGTCCGCGTACACGCCGATGACGGGATCACGTACGCGCACAGTGAGGTTGTGCCAGCGCTGAGCCTCGTAGTCCAGTGGGCGTGCGACCTGCAGCACTCCTGAGACACGCGACACAAATGAGCAGGCGCCTGAGACACGCGACACAAATGAGCAGGCGCCTGAGACACGCGACACANGAGTGACGTGTTACTAAACTCCTACCACTCAGAGCCTAAGTGGTGAGTGACGTGTGACTAAACTACTACCACTCAGAGCGTAAGTGGTGAGTAACGTACGTGTGATTAGGGTGACGCGTGTTGTTATCGTAATGCGTGTTATTATTAGTGTGACGCGTTTGTGTCGTCCCTAACCCGCTATCCATTGTGTCGTGTCGAGAATTCGTTTTGTTTGACTTAATGAATATTTTGTAATTATGTGTATCCTTTTGCTTCTTGTGTTCTGGCTAGTCCTTGTAGTGGATATTTTGGCTAAGGTTCGTTTATGGTAAGCACCACTAAATATCTGGACTATCAATCTATTAATGTCACTAACTTATTTCTTCACTTGTGTTTGATGCAATTTATTTAGTGAGCATATTGCAGTGCCACAATACGAGAGAACACGATAGCCTCATTCAGTAATTCGTGTTGTTGCGTGCAGCTGCGCTACAATACGAGAGAACACGATAGCTTCATTCAAGTACGCGGCTGAGAACGGAGCTGACATGGTGGAGACAGACGTGCAGCTCAGCAAGGATCTTGTTCCTGTTATTTATCACGACTTCCACGCGTGCATCGCCCTCAAGCGCAAAAAGGATCAGGATGCGCCAGATCTCCTCGAAATACCCATCAAGGATCTCACTCTTGCTCAGCTGCAGGCTCTTAAGGTCAGTAGGCTCTCCTCTAACCTTCTAGCAAGATATTATATTAGATATTAGCAAGATATTATTTGCAATATCTTCATTTTACAAATAATATTTTACTAAATGTTAATTGTAATTTATTGCCAGTGCTTAGTGTGTATGTGCGAATGCTAATCCTATTGGTCGTTAGTGTGTGTAGATAGAAAAGTAACATTTAACCACTGGGGTGGCCCGGTGGTTAATGTTCAGAGTACCAAGATCGGAGCAGAGAGGCGCGGGTTCGATCCCAGCTCTGTGCGCCAGTTTCTGGTCAGAATCGGCGAGGAGGCCGGGCGGTTAAACAGCAGAATTGTAGCAGTGAGTTGCGAGTTCGAGACCGCAAAATGCTGTGGATGTTCTGCGATGTTATGAATCGGCAACAGGCCTACGGCCTAATAAACGCAGAAACCGATATTATTATCATTATTTATTAATAAAGGTGCGATATGGTAACCGTGCGAGCGAGGCTGTCAGCACTCGATATGGCCTGCCACAAATAGTACGTTCTGTGGTATCAACATCGGCGATGCAAATTTTAAGGGTTACATGGATTAGGACACGAAGCGTTGTCATTTGCAATGGGTTGAACATTTGGGAATAATAGTGAGAATAACATTATTGATCCAAGCCATGAAGATTCATTGAAGTGCTCGGCATATTAAAAAACATCTTCGCGGAGTAAACCTCAGTCATTGACAGGTTGCGGTAGTGTACTTTTAATTATATTAAATACTTTTATCTTTGTATAACTTGTCTGGACACTGGAGGGCTCGTACAACGCCAAGACGAATGCGTGAGTATAGAGACGCTATCCCTAACAAAATTTAGAGTCGCCCCAGCTTCTGGTAATCCAAATCAGAAGCTGCCGCGTCTGTAAATTTTCACTGGGATACTTCATGATGCCAGCGACAGCATAACAGGCGAGTGCCAGCTTATCTTGCCACAGAGACAAAACGCTTCCAAAATAACTCTTAGTCTACATTCAATTTATTTAGAAAATGGACATATCTTCTTACTACAGCAATTGAAACATTAATTTTGAACAGATGAATTTCCTCGCTTGACCGTGCACTCAAATTGAAGCTTATTGCGAGACTGTAAAGGCAATGAACACCCAAAAAAATAAGTTACTCGAGTTCTCCAAATAGTGGCACACTTGCTGCACGTATCACTGAGACATATAAAGAGGGTCAGTGTGACCGATATGAGGGCTAAACGCACATCACTATTAAGACAATGTTCCACTGATATCTCTTAGTAGTAAACTGGGAACCGTTTTCTCTCTGTGGCATTATCGTTGTTATCGATGTCATCCATGCACACGGCCTACAAGTTATCATCTTTACCACTGCTTTTTTCATTTAGAAATGCTGATTGTGATGTTTGCAAGATACCAGCTGTTGATTGTGCATGGCTTACCCTTATAGCATCCCGGTCCATCATTACACACACATGACTTAGCGTCTTATCATTCTGGTATCAGTGCTGCGGGAAGGGCTCAAGGTTCTCATGAGACTTGCCGAGTTGAGGGATCTTCTCATATAAGTTGTCAGCAGTGACACCCCTGTCAAAATTTACGCGCGGCTATCCTTCCGATTTCGGTTGCGACTCTCGGATTAGAGATGAATCAGATGCGAAATGGCCGCCTCTTCTATTTAGCCGCCAAATAGGAGCTATTTTGAGTAGTTTCGTGGAAAAAAATATAAGGGTCAAATGACACACGAAATCAGTGGCTGGTCAGGCCACCATTGGNTTTTTAACGCATTTTTCATATTCGGCCGTGTCTGTCCCGAACGTATCAGGTACCAAATACGCGCGCCCCACGATCGCCCCAAGCTCCACGGGTATTTCACAAGATTCCATTTCGGCGCTTATTTCGCTCCGGCAACCGGAACCTAAAGCGGACATAGAGCTTCTAATTTACACCGTAACAAGAATTTGGGGCGTCCTTGTGCCAGCGGCTGACAGGAATAAAAGTTTCGATAGGGACATAACACATCCAACCCAAGTCACATGACGCCAATAAGAAAAATATTCTTCTATCCATAGTATCCTGGTCAAAAGATAAACAGAGTCTCTCATAGTCTCATAGACTGAGTCTCACGAACGGATTGAGACTTGCGTTAGAAGACCGTTTCCTCGCAGGAAAGGAAATGTTTTACATTTGTACACGTGAACTAACTCCGATCCACTCCGACTTAAGCTTTTCTTGGAGTCCACTCCATTCTTTTATCTCGTAGTCTTCTGATTTTTGTTGTCGCCAAATCCGAGAAAAGTTTTTAAATTATTTTATCACCCAGTTGTTACGATTGATTTTAATATTTATTTAATTTATTTCGTGTAACTTTTTTGTTTGTTTAATCAATTCATTCGCTAAGTGCTAGGGCTGTATTGACGAAACTTCTTGAAATTTGTGCAAGTTAATTAAGTTATCCTGTGAAATTATGTCGCCACGTAAAGCAGTGGCACGCTGAGCGCAAAGCTCGTTGGTCGAGTGGCGTGGTCACTGCACTATTGAAATTGTGTCCGGTATCTCATTATTACCTTTTATTCAATGAATAAACCTTGACTTCTTCATTAACATTTATTGATATTAAATCTTATATTTTTTATCAAGATTTATCTCCATGGCAGTATTCACTGTATGCTTTAGGAATTATTTTTGACGGACGAAAAATTGCTCTTCTTAGAGACCAGCTCACTACGGGAATATCCAATGTTGCAGCATTGCGATAATATCCACAAGAAAATTCTCATTAGGCATTAAAAGTATTGAATAATTTAAAGGAAGATGGCTATTTGCCCGTAAATTTCAGCTGTGATAATTTTTAATTTATTTTATTCTCTAGCCCAATACTCGTTAATTTTAACTATAATTAGATATAATTCGGTTCATTTTTGACCTTTATGTGTGGACTTTTCGAATTATTAATGCTTGTTTTTATGAAGAAGTTACCAAACTGGGGCATGATATTGCAAAGCGAATTTTGCCCTGATTTTAACATGGCTATTTCCTCAATCAAATATAGCATAATTACGATGATCTCCCTCTCCCCATCTCCCTTGATTGTTGCATCTCCCTTGGTTTTTTGGTTTGCAATGTTATAACTCATTACACATGCACTGGTATATGTCACCAGGGTTACACATGCACTGGTATATGTCACCAGGGTTACACATGCACTGGTATATGTCACCAGGGTTACACATGCACTGGTATATGTCACCAGGGATAACGTCTTGTCACTGGTATAACTCATTACACATGCACTGGTATATGTCACCATGACGTAGCGCCAAGTTCTAAAAGTTCACACAATGCACTGTATATATTATACACCCTCACAACCCACTGATGTTGTAATCAATTAATTGTCTTAGCTTTACCTCGCTTGTGTGAGTTACGCTCTGATTCTCCACCGGCCTCGTGTGCTGCTTGCGAGTCTTCCCTCCTTTGCTTCACACACTTGCTTCCATTGAAAGTCTACAATTTTCGTTTCCTATGAGAATTGTTCGACTTTGATGTGAACTTTTTGGCCCACCACTTGATTGCTACTTGAATGGTCATAGTTATCTATTATTTATTTTTTGTTAGCAATGCAGGTGGTGTGAGCTTAGGGGCAAACAAATGACGTTCTGAGAGCTTCCTTTCAATTGCATTTTATTACAAGTTTCCATTCAAGACCGCATGTATATTAATGATTCTATGCTAAATATTATACTCGAGCATACTCGTTCTCAAGTTGCACAGCTCCAGCAAAACGAGATGTTGTTTGCCGCTGGGTTCTGAAGCTTGGTGCTATGCCCCCACATGTGTTCAATTAAGTGTGTTCATGTTTTGTGCTGCTCGTGTGTACATGTTTTGTGCTTCTCGTGTGTACATGTTTGTGCTTCTCACCAGGACTTGTCTCACCTCACAGTCGGCATACCTGAAGACATCTTCTCCTACTGCGACCCTGACGACATGATGGTATGCTAGGTCGTATGAAGTCCTACGTGAGTAGGACTTCACTTACTCCTAGTCTTACTTCTACATGATAGTTGGGCTTACATAGTCCTACCTGATGGTGGAGTCTTAGTTAGTCCTACATGATAGTTGGGCTTACATAGTCCTACCTGATGGTGGAGTCTTACTTAGTCCCATAGGATGTTGGGCGTCGCCGAGCAGCCATTATTTACTTGCTGTATAACTTCGTAGTGATCTTTGCCCCGTCACTACTTATATGCCTAATGGTTCCACTAATATCGCCAGGCTGGTGATTGCTGCAGTGATGCTTGTGACTGTGACCATGTAGACCAAATATTCCTCGTCCTAATATCCACATAAAATTCTGAAGTTTAGTTAGACTGTTTTATATGTATATTGTATATATTCCATGAGCCCTATACTTTCAAAACTGACTAAGTGAACGTAAGTACTTACGCTCTATTTTCTTGTCGCTGATTGGTGGATTTGGCTTGAAAGGCCGTCAGTGATTGGCTGATGAACTTATGATCTCTTAACTTTTTTTAAGTATGGCCCCATGTCTGTGTCTGTACTGGTAAGATTACCGAGTGTGGAAGTGTGTGTGTGCTGACGTGTTCTGGGTGCACGTGTACCATGACGTGTCATGTTCACAGGGGTACCATGACGTGTCATGTTCACAGGTGTACCATGACGTGTCATGTTCACAGGGGTACCATGACGTGTCATGTTCACAGGTGTACCACAGGAAAGAGAAGGGTCTGAGTAAGTTCAGTGATGAAGCGTTCGAGGACCACCAGCCGTTCCCTACCCTGGAGCAGTCGCTGAAGGCGGTGCCCCACACGTGCGGCTTCAACGTCGAGATAAAGTGGACCATGCAGCTGGCTTGTGGCACCTACGAGCTGCGGCATCCCTTCGAGCTCAACCGCTTCCTGGATCTTATCATCAAGGTCTGCTCCAATTACTTATTACTTGTTATCCAGACACTCAATACGCTTGTTATCCAGACACTCAATACGCTTGTTATCCAGACACTCATTACGCCTGTTATTCGCCAGTTAAACTCATTATTTGTTCTCTATTATTCATATCAAGTTCGACATGAATTTCATCTCAACAGCGCCTTTGGACTCAAGGCCTATAATATATGATCAGTTGTATTGCTTCTGCAAAATTTGTCGTTTAAAGGTAACATTCAGTCCCAGATACCAGACTTTATTGCCATAAAGTGATTTTCTTCTCCAAAACCTGTGGTGTAGTGAGTGCTGCTGAAACAATACGTGCGTAAAGTTCACTTATGGATGCATAAGTCCATACCTCCTATTGATGTGATGTACAGTACACGTGCGCTGGCTTAATGTCTTCTGTTGATGTGATGTACAGTATACGTGTGCTGGCTTAATGTCTTCTGTTGATGTGATGTCCAGTATACGTGTGCTGGCTTAATGTCTTCTGTTGATGTGATGTACAGTATACGTGTGCTGGCTTAATGTCTTCTGTTGATGTGATGTACAGTACACGTGTGCTGGCCTAATGTCTTCTGTTGATGTGATGTACATTATACGTGAGCTGGCCTAATGTCTTCACTGTTATCATTCAATATTGCTTTAATTTGTACAGGTTGTTCTGGAACACGGCGGCCGCAGAAAGATCGTGTTTTCCAGCTTCCATCCCGACATCTGCTCAATGTTGCGTCTGAAGCAGAACCGTTACCCGGTGCTCTTCCTGACGCAGGGAATAACCGAGCTGTGGCCGCCCTATGACGACTACCGCTGTCAGAACATACGACAAGCTGTGCTCTATGCCACCTCTGCTGATATTCTCGTGGGTCTCACTTCCTTCTAAATATTGCTTCTATTGTACCTTCTCTTCGCGTGACCATAGCATATTTGTTATATTTGAACCACATTTGCGATGGTAACTTCTGCCCGTAATAACCGTCCTCGTTATTATGTGGCTTGCTATTCGCCCAGTCATCTGCTTATTCGAGACTTGTCTGAGCTCAAGATCAGATATTGTGGACCAGGTTTCTTCTTATCGAACTTGTCTAGTTTGATAACCTTTTCTTCGTTCGTAATGTTATTTTTCGTATTTAATTTCCTTGACTACTTCGTTTTACTTTGTTTCTTCTTGCAGCATTCATTTCTTTATCCATTTAGTCATCAAGGGTCTTTTATGCAACATCTGGGTTGTTTGCTCATGAGACAACATAGATATCATAAGTAGGTATGCATTTTATTTCGAATTATCTTGAACAATATCGCGATTATAATTATTTGTCTGACTGTTTTTAGCGCATTTTCTCATTTATGGGAAAAAGGCGCTATTGCGCTCGTCGTGTCCGTCCGTCCGTCTGTCTGTCTGTGACTTCACAGTTTTCGTCGATTCAGAGAAAATGCGCTCTCCGTCACTCACTGCTGTGAGTACCATCTAGTGGGGTGACTTCGGCCACCATTACAAGAGAATCAAATAGCAGCAAAACTAAATAATAAACGTTGGCCAAAATCACCCCAGGCACTTTGGCCGATGTTTATTATTTTATTTTGCTGCCATTTGTTTCTGTTGTAGTGGTGGCCGAAGTCACCCCCGGTGGCCGAAGTCACTCTACTTGACGGTACAAAGTTATATTTTTTATTATGTTGTAGGGCATCAACCTGCACACCGAGGAGCTGCTCAGGGACCCTGACCAGATGAAGCTGGCGCTGCAGAAGAACCTCGTCGTCTTCTGCTGGGGCGAGCACAACAACGACCGCAGCACCATAGCCTACCTCAAGAGCCTCGGCATGCACGGCATCATCTATGACAAGTCAGTCAAACCTGTAGCATTCATACAGCTTGTGTGTATACACCTGTACATTTTAGGTGACCGAATCATCTATGACAAGTCAGCCAAACCTGTAGCGTTCATACAGCTTGTGTGTATACACCTGTACATTTTAGGTGACCGAAGTGTGTTGGTAAATGCCGTGAGCCTTTTATTAAATTTAAAGGACATTTTGTTGGATCTCAAAAGTATCTGAAACTTGGAGTTGCCACTAATACTGGTCGTGCAGCAATAGTAATTTGTGTGCGAGCAATACAATCATTACGCGACGTAAAAAACTCTACGTCATCTGTTACGAGTGATCGTAGCGAGTGTGAAGCAAGCTTCATTTCGCTCTCCTGTAAATGGTAAAGTAATGAGGTTAAAGTCTCCCTGGTAAAGTAATGAGGTTAAAGTCTCCCTGGTAAAGTAATGAGGTTATAGGCCCCAGGATATGGTCAGATCGCGGCGTCATATTAGCAGCACCGCTTGTTGCTCTTGCACATCAACTGACCGAAACCATTGCACGTTTAGCAAGCAAAATCTCATCAGTTCAGAAATAATCGTCCTCTTATCTCCTGCTAGCATTTATTATACTCCAGAAATTCATCTGGAATTTTTATTTTTCATCATTCTATTGATTAATTTCTGTAGTTTTTAACTGATTAAAATATTTGTCTTATAAATGAACCGCAACCGTGTATGCTAATGTGCTACATTATCCCATTTAACTTGGCCTTTGCTGAGATCTTCGTATTACAGAATTGACGTGTACAACAACAAGGAGGAGAAGAAGAGCATCTTCATGTGCGAGGAGCGCGACAGCATCTCGGGCCACTGCGCGCTGGCTAAAGAAATCGCGTGCACGAGCCCCGCGTCGGACAGCAATAGCGCCTCGGAAGGCGCCAGCTCACGTTGCAGTGATTTATCCATTTCTGACATTGAAAAGCTTTAGTAATCTAAAGAGAACTTTTAATCTACCATGTTGTTGAATTTTTCATTTGTTGAACACGCGATGCATTGGAGGGTGTCAGTTTTACAACTTGTTGCCTTTCTGAACAAGATTATTATGATGGTATCAAAACCTGTATTTTCTTGCGACATTATCATGTTGACGCTTCCTATCCGTTGAACAATAATGTTTCCTTCTTCGAAAGAGTTACGTTAGTCAGTAGATTTAAACCGGTTCTTTTTATGTTGTTGTTCTTTGTTAAATGAAAACCCTGTTTCAGCACATGTCCAGTTTACCATCGCTGTATGCGTCGTGATATCCGTCTATATTTTATCTCATTAAACAGCGGTCTGGGAAGCACACATCGGGCTGTATTTTAGAAGGTTATGCGCCGATCTTTGAGGCACAGATCGGGCTGTATTCTAACATTGACCAAGTTCTGCATGTTTTTATTTTCGCAAGTTTTCTTTGCATAGTTCAAATTATAATATGATAACGAAACAAAGGTTGATCTTTTAGACGACGTCCATATTTGTTATTCTTAACGCCCTTACTTACTACAGGACATTTAATGTACAGGGCAACACAAGAACCTTAATCTTTCCTATCTATTACCTGGTGGATTTTCGTCCACAATTGATACTGGATTTGATTGTAGAAACTTTGTTGGTGTTGTGCTAACACTTGTACAAATTGCAAGTTTTTGGCCTTAGTTATAAAATGTATGCTCCGCTTGATGCAACTGGCCTCAAGGCCAGCGAATCGGGACTGGGCTAACATATGTTCCTCACCAACTGAAACATAAAAAAAACGTGAAATTTTGAACACGGTTCAAAGTGTATCGAATACCTCGGACAAAGGAGCAATATTCTGATTATTTAAGAAGTCTTTAGTACGAGAATAAATTATTTTACACTTCCTACCTCATTTGGTTAACTGTACTCCAACGAAATACAGCAATATTAATAACTAAACATGACGCACACTGCTGAATAAATCCGGGATCAAAGTCACTTGATCGCGATTACACTTTATAGCTCTTCGGTTTCAGCATTTGTACATTCTTGTTCGATTTTATTATTAAGCTGGTCCCAATTTAACGGGACCCTGCGAGAAACCATCATCATCGTCATCACGTCAACTGATATTTTGTGTTGCCTTCGTGCATTGAAATCATTATTCGTAGTTTTAGTTCGTTCGTATTCTTTCGCAGCACAATGTGCTCATGGACTTCATTTTCTCAATGAGCCTATAACAATACCTGACTTTATACCCATATTACAATCGCTGACTTAACTCCTATCTAGTAGGTAGCCTAGAATAAAGCATTGCATCTTTTTTATCTTTGCATCAAGTTGTTCACGATTAATGTCGAAGCTTAACTCAATGTTTGCGCCAATGAATGATTAGATTTAAGAAAGAAAAGCAAGCGTCCCATGACTGATGACTGTTGGAGTGTAAATAATGGCAGGAGTCGCCCAGCTCCACAAAGCGTTGCCGCCTTCCATCTCGCACACAATAATAGGATACCATAGTTTACATTGTGCCGCTCCTCGGCATATATGTACCTAGTTATCATTATGAGGATTATCATTGAAACCTTGATCTTAAGCTCTGAACTATAATTTAGAGCCTCCAATCTAGTGACTTAGATTTCTTTCTAAGGTCATTCTAGGAGTATAAGGATACTAGCTTGGCCATAGCTGTAACCTGAAATATTGGTACGACGTTGCAGTGCGATTGATTTAGTGAATGATTACGTTATCCGCTTCTACGGCGGTCTGAGGTTGTCCATGTTATTAGTTATAACAAATTTATTTAGACCTAACGGTGACCTGTAAGTCTTGAGACATACTCCAATGATACTCTTTTTTTTGTGTTAAAACATCGTATGGTTAAGTTGAATCACACTCCTCACAGCTCGCGCGACGGAATGTTGTAACCGCTCCTCTGTCTTCCAGCATTCTCCGCGCCACAAGTTATGCATACCAAGCAGTGGTTGGCTTTCGTTTTTAGGTGGTGATCCTGCAAACCTTTGTTCTAAGCTTGATGCGGTTCTCCTTGTTTTCAATAATTTAACCTTCTTCCTGTGAATACATTAACCGTCGTCAATGCTTTTCTCAAATGACGGCCTTGTAACGTAAATTACAGTCAGGGCGTTAAGGTGTCCGCGACGTCGCTGTTATTGATGATATTTGGGCGCAGGGCTGCCTGCATCGAAGTCCCATCGTGGTCAGTAAAATGATTCAGTCCAGAACACGGGATTCCTTTCACGCGTTCAAGCGAGAGAATGCTCGCTTATTATTAAAAATAAAAAATTTCCAGTATGAACTCGTCCACCAAGAGCAACAAAGCGAAGCATGTTGCTCAAGATTGTCCACTCGGCCTTTGCCAATTAATAAAGCAAATTCAACATGATACATCTTTTCTGCTATTGAACTTGGTCAGTCACCATCAATGAAACAAAATAAGCACCGTTTGCTGACACCTATGATGCTTCTCCATTATAATGTCGGGGAGTTCGTCTTGATTTTAGTACCTATTGTTTTTTCAATCACTTCGATGCGATGCCTGGCTTTAATCATCACATCGCTGATTGAACTGCGCATTCAACCATATTATAGTAACTTCTATTATAAATTCGTCTATTACCCTTGTCAACAGTTATAAATTGCGAGCTTCAAGGCCTCGTTTTTTTGCGTGTTAGGGTTGTTGCGTGCCCCTTCACTTACAATGTACTGGGTACTGAGCCAACGACTTGTCAAGTTTTGACTATAATTTACGCATTTTTGAGACGACAACTGCAAATTGCCATTTCACTGATGTACGTTTGAATAAAAAAAAGTTGAATTGCGCGATAAATTACGTTAAAAACTTATTCAGAAGACCAAGTACATATAACGTATAGTTGCACTCGTGATATTTGGTGATTACTAATTATGTGAAATATAAACGAGATGAGATTATCAACAAATATATTCCATCTTCCTTAAATGCGAGTAACAAAAAACTTAATTTGCTCGTGCAGCGTCATATCCTTGTCACGTGCAGCGCATGATGCCACTAATATTTCATCTCGAGTTGCAGATTTGATCAAGTCTCAATGAGCTGCTGCAAAAATCATTACTAAAAATGCACAAGTTTACGCGCTCACTTTCTTCAACTGCACGTTTTATTTCACTTGTTAGCTATCCGCGAGATATCGGAAACAATCCTCAATTGTTAACAAAAATAAAAGCGAAAAATCAAAGACCATCGGTCCATGTATCAGAAAGCAATTCCATATCAAGATAATGCGACAATATGAAATCAGAATACCGTACTGCTATACCTACTATTTCACACGTGCTATTACACGCAGCGTGTCTTTCAAACTATCTTCCTTTAGCAGGGGTCTATCAGAGGAATGTTTTTTTTTTCGTGCGAAATTTATCTCAGATTTGAAAATGATCAGGCTCACTGTTTAGGCAAAATGCAAAAAAAAAATAATAAATGCTCGGTTTAAGTGACACAATTTGAAGTCCTTCACCCCCTTGTTACTTTTAATTCAAAGCTTGTACTATACGTAAAATATCACTTCCATAAGATAAGACTAGCCAGGTTTACGTGCGACAACGGGGCGCCAACTTGGAATTGGAGGCTTGACGCAACACAAACTTGGCCGCCAGAGGGAAATGGTCTGAAGGTGCGACAGCTGAAGGTAAAGGACCGAACTTTCGCGCTTCAGGTCCAGACAAGAGGTCGTACCGAGCTACCAGCTTCAGACGGCCTTCGACCGCGCGCTGTAACCTGTTCGAATACACCTGCGCAACAAGCAGGTCTATTAGGAACCGTTGGATCACACGGTGCAAGTGTGGGGGATTAAGAAAGAAAGATCAAAATAACAGGACTTCAGGAACATAAGCATCTATCACTGTAAATATTAAAAACATGTTGCAATGGGATATCATTCTTATTACACGCTAAAGCCTCATGAAGGGCCCACACAGTCATCACGTGTGACTGTACTACAATACTGCATACGAGACTGTAATTTTTCATATTAATTGCATTTTATCCTAATCATAAGCTTATAATTAGAGCATTAAGCAGGAGTTAAGTTACAATGTAACTCTTGTCGCTGGCACCTGGAGAGTAGCAACAGATGCAGATCGTTGTCAGATTATCTCGAGTCAGGGAGGGAACTTTTCAAAAAGTATTAAAAAAACGAAACAATAAGCTTATACGACTAATAACGTTTTCTCGAGCCACCTAGGCTATAATTCCCTCGTGTACAACAGAATTAATGCCATAAAGAAGTTATTTCCTCTTGCAGAATCAATGAAAAATAAATTCCTGTTCGAAGCTTAATAAAAAATAAACATACACGAACACGTGCCTCAACTCTGCAGATATTCAAGCAACAAACAATGTATGGAGATCAGTTACAAGCCAATGAAACTACTTTCAAGTAATTATTTACTTACGACTGATAAAAATGATGGGCAGTTTCTCGCCTGCTAACATCAATCTTGCCTAATTTTCAAATTAATGAACTGAGTAAATCATGCGGTAAATATCAAGTGAAAATTGTAACTTGCCTGCGAATAAAAAATGTAGTCGACAGTCTGCCAGTCGTTAACTTGTGCAGTAACCTCAGGCGCACCCCCAAGCCTGTCCAGCGAATGTTTGAAGACAGACTTGAGACAAAACGGATGCTGCAATTGGCCAGTGAACTGCTCATGGAGATTAAGAGATGGAAAGTTGTAGGTAGGTCGGTTCTCCGAGTGGTACAATCCCATCACGCTCAGTTCACGAGCTCGTCGGTCCGGCAAAGAAGAAGAGGAACGCAGTCCATTTCTGAGCGCCAGCACCCCTGCGTGCTGACATGTGTCCGTCACTCCCAGCTCGCGGGGCAGCAAGAATCCTGTGAGTATCCGACCGCCTGAGTTAATGGGTGTCAAAAATCTGGAATCGAGGCCATAATACTTGATGTAACTTTGCTTCAAGAAGTTCATCACTGGTTGATACGGGTATGCGTTCATATCGCCTGTGATTATCACGGGATTGTATGGAGTAGCTTCCAGATTAGTCGATGGTCCACTATATGCCATACGTTCGATTTCTGCAAGAAACATTTGCAGCTGTGCCAGTTTGATGTCGTGCCGTTTAGGATTGTAGAGTAAATGTGTAGTTGCAACGCAGAAAAAAGCCATATTCTCCTTGCACTGCAGCGTGCAAATCAATCCTACGTTGTCTCGATTCATAAACGTATTTGGTTGCATGTATTCTACGGACACATGCTCGACGAGATCAAATTTATTCGAGCGAACGAAAATGGCACAGCCATCTGATTTGTCATCCGTTCGCTTCTTGTACACACCTTGGTATCCCAAATGAGTGAACCAAGGAAGGAAATATTCATGATAATGATTACACTGAACTTCTTGAAACGTAAGAATATCGGGATCCAACTGCTTTACTTCGTATTGAAGAAGAGTCCACCTGTACGTCCAGTCAAGGTGGAGTGGGTCACAGTCAGAATACAGGTACATGTTTCCTGTGATCAGATTCTGAGCTAATACATTGTACGACATGAGAGTAAAGGCAGCATCTCCACGCATTGCCCTCCAGTCATTACCAAACCCAGTAAGCCGCCATTGACGTAAGTTTTCCAGGCTTGCTCTGATGCCCATCACCTCATCACTGAAGTCCAGAGTGTGGTTGGTTAAATAATCCAGACGAACTCTTTCCAAGGGCCAATAGTCAGGGTCAACAGCATCCATTCTTTCAATGATCCCACATTGCTGAGCCGTCGAGCTGCACCGTGACACATCACTGTTCACCGTGTCAGGGTTGGGACTAGGCCTTGACACGTCCGTGTGGCGCGCTCTATCAACGAGCGACGTTAGATTATCGCAGATGGGAGAATTCGTCTGGCCGGAATTGCCAATATCTCGTGGAATTATGAGCGGAACACTTGGATTTAATGCATCGGGAAGCATGCCATTAGGTAGCATCGTGTTACTTTCCTTGCTTGAAGTATAAGAGGGATTCTTATTTTTGTACTCTGGGGAGATGATAACACAGTGAGGCGTTTCTACGAGCATAGTAGTTTTTAGCTCAGCTAATCCAACGTTCGTCTCGTGCTCCATATTTGTGGAACAATGTACTTGAGAAGGCAACGAGGAAGAAGTGCACAGAGAACTAAATCTCCTAGCATTGTTTCTGTTCGGTGATGGTATAGAACTCACTGCTATTCGACCAACTTCAGACACAGGCGGCGCATCATTCTTTACTTCTCCATCTGACACACGTTTTTTCACTTCAGTAGAGATGCATTGTACTTCATCATCATCATCATCAGAAAGAGTAATCAATTCAGGGGATACTGTTGCCTTCTTTCTCCAAGATAAAGTACTTCTTACGGAGCCAGAGAAACTACGAGCTATCAAGCTTCGTGATGAAATATCCCTCGTTGTTGCTGATGGACTCGGGCTGTTTGGTGACGAGAACTTGTGCATAATTGGTGTCTCTCTCGATCTCCCTTGACGTATGCCTTGTATGTACACCTTTGATGGCCTTCTATCAATAAAAAATGACTGGAATTCACCACTATTAACTGAAACTTGTTCAGATTTGTTGGAATTTTCCTGACCTGGCATTGATTTTCGACTGCTGAATGGTTGTTTGCTGCCTTCAAGCACCACATCTGCCTTGTGGAGAAGTAATCCATCAGGCATGGGGAGAGCTGATGCATGAGGAGCAGCTTCTTCAGGAGATCTGGGAGGGGAATCAACAGGAAGAGGAGGCAGAGGTGGGGGAGGAGAAAGAGGAAGAGGAGGCGGAGGTGGGGGAGGAGAAAGAGGCAGTGGGGGCAAAGGTGGGGGAGGTGAAAGAGGGAGTGGAGGCAGAGTCAGATGTAGAGAAGGCTTGGGCAATGAAGATAACAAAGGAACAGGAGGAAGGAACAAAGGTAAGCCTAGGTTAACTGAGGTGGCATTTGTAGTAGACTGCCTCTGTAAGCCTGAAGATGGTGGCACAATTCCACCTGTAAATCCAGATCTTGTGAACTGCAAGCCTTCCTCAGTTGACATTCTTGAGTGAAGTAGAAGTGATCTTTCCATGACATTCTTCAATAGTGTTTCTAGGTATAACTGTTCCAAACCACATAAACAAGCTCCTTTTATATTGCACTTGAACACCACACTAAATTTAATCATTAATGTGTGGTAATTAGTATGTCAGGTCTGCAAGGAAACTTTAATAAATACATGAAGCACAATGATGCAATGATTCATCAGAGAACAGTTGAAAATTAGTTTATATTATAAAAATTTATCATAGTGAAATCCATATTAAATTCAACTTCACATCCATCATAATAAATAAGATTTTCATAAATTACTCATTTGATGTTTGCATTAAATGATTTAGAAAATAAGAAAAACATTTACACTCAATATCATCAATACCTACTAATTTCATAACTATCCAAAAATATGAAATATTAAAAATCTACTAATATATTTCTAAAAATTGGTGTTGATATATACATGAAGTATACAGTATTCAGAAACTAAATTCATCGTTCAAAAAGCTAACAATATAAGCAACCAAACATTATTTTTTCAAACTTTTGGAAATGTAATTGAAAAAATGTCTCAAATACAGAAAAATAGAACAAAACTTACAAAAACTATTACTTTTAATTAGCACTTATTTTGATAGAACAAGGGAGGTCAGAAGTCCACCTGACACCAAGTTAAATAAGCTTGGTCTCATGATCAAGCATAATATGAGCATAAAGAGTATATACATGGGATAGGTATATATTCCCTGCTACAAAACCCATTCTTAAATCAATAAAATTCTGTAAAGTTTTATTTTGAATAAATAGATTAAATTTACTGAACAAGAATTTGGTACAGTACCGTAAAATGGGGTTACTTTGACCGGCGGGGTAACTTTGACCACTTTTCGTTTTTTTAACAAAAACCCCCAAAACTCAAAAAACGATTTGACATAGAAAAATTTTGTCAATGGCCATCAAAGGCCTAATACTGCGGCTACGTAACACAATAGAAAGATTTAAAAAGTTTGCATATCTAATAGGTCAAAAAATTAATAATGTGACTCACAAAATGGAGGTATTATATAAAGCCTGTCAGAGTACCCCCTCCAAATTTTTAATTTTTTGGTTAAATAACTCCAGGTTTTGATACATTGTAGTAGAACTCTTCTAGTTACATATGCAAAAGACAAATTTTAGGAAAGTGTCATAGTTTGCAAATGGGGGCGCCACCCCATAATGGGGGAACTTTGACCACCTAATGGCAGCCGTGACGGGGTAACATTGACCGGCTTGGAAATTAAGGTAAAATTACCATAGTTACCTATATAACATATTTTATGTTTGATACACCTATTAATGTTTTTTTCTTTATGTTTCAGACTCTACAGATTCTTATATATGGTAATTTTAACTTAATTTCCAAACTGGTCAATGTTACCCCGTCACGGCTGCCATTAGGTGGTCACATTTCGCCCATTGGGGGACGGCACCCCCCATTTGCAAACTTCAATGCACCACAACCTGGAGTTATTTGGAGTTATTTTACCAAAAAATAAAATTGATTTTACCACCCGGTCAAAGAAACCCCAAGAGCTGGGGTAACAAATACCATCACTTTTTTTGGAATTACATCAAAACTATGAGAGGCAGGAGCCAGCAATTTATGGTGAGTAAAGCTAGAGTATAGACCTGTATTTTGCATGTTTCAATTTAAGTTTAACTTATCTAGTAAAAAAAATGGCATCATTTTGAAAAAAAGTGGTCAAAGTTACCCCATTTTACGGTATTCTAAATTGGCCAGCACCATTGTTGGCAAACTTTTAGAATACCGGAAAGGAGTTTGGAGTTTTGTCAAAATCATTCCTTGAAACTTGAATGAACATTTTTCACATGATTTGCCTTTTAGTGACCTAACCTAGATTATCAATATAAATTATGAAGATTGGTGGAAAAATCTTTTGCACATAGGGTAAATGCGGTATATTCCGACACATTAAGGACGCATTAAGAAATGAAAAACTATAAAAAAATAACCGTATGCGTTACTCGAGTTCTGTTTGCTTTACGTGACTCTCAAAACACGGCACTACGCGCCAGCAACAATGAAACGTCACAAAGTCTTGCCATATTTATTTAAAAGCCTTTAGAATGCAAACCTACCAAATCCCTATATTCCAACCCTGTGTGTGACTAAATTTGGCACGTTGCGAAATGAATTCTGGCTGCGCTTCAAACTCTACTAATACGTAATTCCGACATCCTTGTGTTCAAATTCCGATTGCTGTGTGATCTGTATTGGAATACAACATGGCTTTGAATTAGAACACTATTGAATATTGAAAACTACTTAATTAGGCTTTTAATTAACAGCTATTAAGCTTTTAATTAAGAAAATTTTAATTTTTGCACACAGCTTGGAATGAGCTTTGTGTGTCCAATTCAAGTTGTGTCGGAATTAGTTTTTATGTGTCTAAATCCGTTTCTCAACTTAATCATCTATTAATTTATTTACCACTTGAAATCAGCAAATACAAGTATACTTAAAGGATTCCTAATATATTCACAGACTTATTTAAAAGTCTCAAACCATAATATTCTTTCTACACAAACAGTTTATCACTATTTGGTAGAGCAAGGTCAAGGTGAAGTGGTCAACTATCAAGTTTGACACATTTTTTGATGATCTCACTGGGTGACATGCACTGTCTCTCTTTGGATCTCAACATTTTCCCGCCAGATGGCCCAAACCTAGTGTTTTGGCAATAGTTTGGCGCGCAAAGGTATGACATCACCCATGGTCAGGAAGATGTGCCAGGTGCGCGGGAATTTATTGTGTCATTTTAACGACCTGCGCGGTGCGCCGTACTATGCTGGTAAAAAATGTGCCGTGCGCCGTACTTTAGAAAGCTAAAATAGTTTAAATATGGACGTGCGGCAATGCGGCTCTAATTAAATAAAGATCATTACTTGTAGTATAATAAACATGAAGTCTCCCTATTAAAAAGTTATATTTCGTTGGTCATCAAAGATCAAAGTTTATATCAACTACTCGAGTCGAATTGACAATAATAAAATGTAAGACATGTC